GGGTGTTCATGCGACAATGAAAGACAATGTTCCGCTGGTGAAAGTTGCTGTGGTTCTACTTGCGTCAACGCGACAAACTGCTTAGGTCGCCGCTGTAAGACGGATAGAGATTGCCTTCAATCGACTCTCTATCAACCTGGAGGGGGAGAAAATTGTTGTGAAGGTGTATGTAGCGACTCGGATTTAAAAGAAAGTAGTTTAGGATGCTATTGTGAATACCACGACGAGTGTTTTACAGGTGTTGAGTCCTGTTGTGCCAATACTTGTGTAAATGGATCAAGTTGTGTCGGATTCAGTTGTAACCATCGGTCTCCAAAATGTGCACATGGCGAGACTTGCTGCAGCAACAACTTAACGTGTGTGAACGGAACCTATTGTCTCGAGCAAAACTGTCAGGATCATGCTGATTGTGGTTTCTTTGAAAACTGCTGTGAAGGAAAATGCAATGAGGGGGTCTGCATTGAAAAAAGACCACAATCGTGTGAGTCAAACAAGGATTGTACTAAGTATGATTGGTATTATTGTTGCAATGGCCAGTGCAGTAACGATAGCTTTTGCTTCACTCCTTTTATGAGGGCACTCGTGACTGTTTTTGCTTCATTTGGAGTCTTGCTTTTCTTGATTGTTACCTATCTATGTTATCGAAGGAAAAAACGAATTCTTCGAGAAACTCTCTTACTACAAGCAGAGGATATAACAACCGAGCAGGCACTGGATTCCCAACTTTTTCCATTACTACCGCCTTACCAACCAGACGATTATGCTCCACCTGAATATGAGCAGCAACAAACAGATATAAATACGTCGTACTACCCTCAAACGATAGAAGGCCACGAGCCACCTCCCCCTTATAGTGCTGAATTTCAAGGAGAATCCGGGGGAGAACAAACAAAAATTTAAAATTTCAAGATGTGACAAAATAAATAAATAATTTAAAAAGAGCAGGAAGCGATAGAGTAAAATGTGAAACATTTTTTTGAAGAGCTTAATTGGTTAAAGAGTTATTAAGCTTTAAGTTTTGAATTTTCCGCCATTTTGTTGCTATTTTTAGAAACGTAAGTACATTTCAAGATGCTACATTTCCTAAAGCAACTGAGCTTTTCCAAAATGTTTTTCACATTTGTTTCTATCACATCAGACTCTTTTTAAAATATTTATTTGTTTTGCCATAACTTGAATTTTAAACTTTACTGTCAATCTTGTGACGTCATTTTCCCGCCAAAAACTGTTAAAATCGAAAATCAAAACAACAGACGATATTTTGGAGTACAAAGTTCTACCATCCTGCAAAGTTTGAGCTCAAACGAATAAAAAATGCAAAAGTAGTTCCAAGGATGCACTTTTAGGCGCCTTATATGTCCATCGTGTTTGGACGAACAATGTCCTTACAAGTTTCTTGCGTTCCTTGATCGGTTAAGCTAAGCAAAATAACACTCAACATTGTTACATATTAAAGGTTAAATTAAAATTTTAGAAGTGCACAGGGTGAAGATATTTTGAAAATAGCATGCAGAAACCCACTGACAAAAAAATCAACTGTTCGCTTCAGTTCAGTTTATTCTTATCGGTTATTTATAATACTTACCACAGGCATCCCAAGCTCACGTTACGAGTGTCAATAAATTAACTGTCTCAAAAGAGAGTCGGTGTCGCGTTACAAGCAACAGTTGAGATGAGAAATAAAATACCGAGGTCTGCGAACGCTAAATATCATTCATTATTCTTACTTATTTTTCTATAAAATAAACAGGGGCACCCAACGGCAATTTTCGGGAAAATATCTGTTCGGAAGACGATTTGAGACCTAGAATTTTCGGAGCATTTGTTGCAAAATTTCTTGCTTGCCTGCCTCTCCTAGGATTTTCGAACATCTACAAAATGGTATAATTACTCATTTTTAACGGATTTTGACCCTAAAAAAGGCCACCTAGAATTTTCGGGAGCCTTTTCATGGCTGAAATTTTCGAGAAGGTAAGTTTTTATCCCTAGAATTTTCGGATCACTAGATTTTCAGCTAGGAAATCCGAACAGATGAAAAGTTTTTAGGGGATAAAAATATGCCTATATCTACCGTTTGAATACTAAAATACGTTCAACAATGCTATGTTAAGTGGTTTTGAACCGATATCCTCGTTGGGTGCCCCTGAATAAATAAAAGAGACTTACCTTTGATGTATTCCTGTGTTTTTTGGTGTGAATTCATCGATTTAGTCGGTTTTTTTGGCTGTTATTGTTTGACGAGAGTGACAGAGGTTGTTCATATAAAGTACAGTTGCTTGTAACGCGACAAGGTCTCTCTTGTGAGAACATTAATTTACTTAACACACTCGTAACTTGAGCTTGGGCCCAGGGGGGGTGCTCGTCGGAAAATTTCGAGAACACCCCCAAAAGGTACCAGAATCTTGTTTTAGAAGCGTGTCCCATATTCATTTCCACCCTAACAATAACAACTAATTATATGACCAGCCCAAATACGTTTTTCAGATCAATAGCAGTGGGCTATAATCTTACCGCAGGCCCCTAAAAGGTACCGAGACAATTCTGGCAGCAGCCATTTTAAGTGTTAGCACTCTAAGCGGTACCAATCCACACCTTTAAACCCCTAAAAGGTATTACGAGCACCCCCGTCACTTTTATAAAGGAGTACCCCCTCCTCCCCTCAGGAGCTTGGGACGCCTGTGCATTTACATTGTACCGGAGTAACGTAGGAATAAAATAAATAAGAGAAAACAAGAGAAAGAAAGAGATAAATTTCTTTGATAGAGTGTACGATGGCCAGAGGAGCTTAGCTTTCGAGCTAGCCACCACTGTATTATGAAGGGGAACACTTAACTCGCTAGGTGCCATGGCAACTATGGACAATTATACGTAGTTACTTTGAGAGTTAAGCAGAATTCGTTTGTATTGTTTTTTGAACTGGTAGCTAAATCTTTTTATGTTAGTAGGAATCTCTTCCCAGATGTTAATACACATTAACCACATAAACAGTAGCAATATCTTTCATGACAAAAATAAAAACATATATATCAACCGCTACATAATTGTAATAAAAGGTTGACAAAAGATTAAACAAAAACTTCAGTTAAAATAGAATAGCCTGTATGGCAGGCTTTACAAGGGGAAGGCGGGCAAGGGAGAATTTGGGCGCGCGCAACTTGCTACGCAGGCTATATCGTGTTAAGTGGTCCACGTGCCCGTTGATCAACTGAAAAAATGGTTATTTCCATTTCTTTTTTGTTTGTTTGTTTTTGTACAATATTACAAAGTGCGACAGCTATCGTTTTTTAATTTAGAAAATGACGATTATTACACTAACAAATCCGAACAATCACAAAAAAAACATTCTGAATTAGGCAGTTACTACCTCTGTTTCAAACTGCCCTTCTAAGGGTAACAAGGAGGAAATGCATAATAGGCTAAGAAAAGAAAAAATAAATATATATCCCCGTTTAGTTTAGACTGAAACGTGCATAAAATCGCGCATCTTGAGAGAGGCTAAAAAAGGTACTCTTTCCAACAACGAAAGTGTTGAAAGTCTCGAAAGGCCCGGAAACATTTCGGGCCCGAAGGCAAACGGCTTAAAATTAAAACCTGTTGACTCTAGCTCACAAACCAGTCAAGTTTGCGTCGTTAAGTATAAAAACTGACTGATAAATTCATTTTATCGTTTTCAGAATTACTGAAACTTTGTTGGCAAACACGGCAAACGTAAAACAGCTTTCCGGATCCGAAAAGACCGGGACTTTCGAGGAACGGGCCCCTTCAGGTTAGCTGGGCCTGATCAACTTGTGCCATTTTTATAAAAACGTGACCCACAGAACAATAGAGTATCGTTTGGTCTTTTTCCTTAATACTGAATACATGTGTGGTGAAATTATACCCTCAAAGCGAAGATTGATGCCGATTAGGTTCATTCCTAGTCAATCATCATCTTTTAAAGTCACGTTTCAGGAAATCAAGATCTTTTGCCACGGACTACAATCACTCGACATTAGAGGCAATGAAAACATAAGGTCCTAAGGTTCTTGACCCACCATCTACCTTTCCCCTTTGCCAATAATAAAAGGTCGTCGTTCAATTAAAGGTGAATTGGTTATCTTTCATTTTCCTGCGTTTTTTAAACTATCACTGGTTGCCTAGTAACTGAGGAAAAGTTAATTTCAATTGGTTGATCTCCTGTGCTGAATTCATGTGAATCATCTTTACTAAAACCTGCCTGCAATCTATATAACACGCTAAGTATGACGTTCCTCTTCTTCGTTGTGTTGTTCGCTAAAGTTGCAGGTTCAGGACAAAACAGGCCAAATGCAGGTAAGAGTTGAGATAGTTGGTCAGCTTTTTACACCACAGGAAGCTACAAGCCACCTGTCAATGGCATCACGCGCTATGAAATGAAAACTCTTTCTGTCCGAGAACGAATTGAAATCAAGTTACTTGGAAGACAGAGGATGTTTAAAAGGAATTCATATCAAATAAGGCGTCATGAATATTCAAAGGACAATTTTTTTTAGATTGCGTGCCTCGCGTGGATGACTGTTTCCTTCTAAGCGCGGACCTCTCTCGACCAACTGCGATGAAGCAATAACCGAAAATTCATGACAGTTGTATCTTCTTATATATTCTCAGTGTTGCTGTCATCATAAGATCAAAGACGTAGAACAATGAATATTTGAACACGCAAACTAACTAACAAACAAGAAACGGCGAAAGTGAGCAAAAGCAAGACGGATCTTTTTCTGTTGTGATCCCAGTGGAGGGAGGGGGAGGGGTGGGGCGGAGGGGCGGGGTGAGGGTACTCCGGAAAGTAACAAGGATCATACATACATACATACATACATACATACATACTCACACACATACATCTGATACATACATACATGTTTTACTTATTTGGAGTCTTATACAATAAATAGTATTTAAAATCAACTATTTCCAAATAACTAAAATTACAAACAACAAAACATTCCTAACCATTTATAGGTAATAAGTTATTAAGGATCATGATCGAAAGATTTATGGGGGGATTTCAAATTTTCCATTGCGGGATTTCTTGGGGTAAAAAAATTTGGAAAGTTCCGTTTGGGGTGGGGGGGGGGGGGTGCCGTGAGATTTAAGTAAGTTTTTGGGGGGGGGGGGGGCGTGGTTCTAAACAATCTGAAAATTGGTGTTGCCGATGGCACCTCTCGCGTATACCAATTGAGTAGTTCTGCCTGATAAAGTACAACCCAAATTGTTTTGCGGTTGCTTCATTTACATGCAAATTTTCCAGTTGTCTGTCACTTTTATTGTTTCTTTCCTATTAATTAGTAACTCATCTTACGTTAGAATTTTGTAGCTACTTCCATTAACGGTTGTACTTCTGAAGATGTATGTGGAAGCATACAAAACGTCAAGTCAAAAGTTGTATTTTTTTTTTCTCGTTATGCGCTTATTTCCTTATGTTAATCATCGCAGTTTGCGTGCTGTTATTTCTTATCAAGCTACGATGGCTAAAGAACAGGAGTATTTATGATAAAGTTGGCAAATATCAAACCCCCAAAAAATCCGTGGACCAAAATTGACCCACCCCCACAAACCCTATGCCAATACTTATTGAGACATGCAAACTTAAAACTAATAAAGATAAAGCTTTTCGCTGCTAATATTTTCATTAACGGTATGTTTCAAGTCCTTAATTAGCAGTGTCTCCTTAACTTTTAAATGGATATCAGACTTTCCTCTTGCCAATATGTCAAAGTGGTCCCATTCTTAGGCTGTGACTTAAACTCCGGAGCCGCTCCGGAGCAACCTCTCCCCGGGCCTCTCTCCTCCCTGGGGTCGTGTCCCTCTCACACCTACTATCCTGGAGCGAATGTGACTGTTTTTTATGGCTCCTTTTTTTAGATAACGTCGACAACAGCAAATATTGTGGATGCACAAAGAACAACTTCCCGCACTGCAACTGCTGCTCAGATTTTGAAGACGTCAGGCATCAAGGTATCAGTTGATTTCAAAGCGAACGGATACTAGTAGAAATATCAATTAATGTACTAAAATTTATTTACTTACCGACTCACTTTTACGACCCTTAGGCAATTGTCCTGGTGACAAATTTTTACACTGATTTCAAAAGGAGAGCTGCACGGGATATTGCTGGGAATGATTACTTGATTAGTGGTCCAACTTAAACTGGAAAATGAACAAAGACATTAACATCCGCTAATAATATTGTTTGAAGATTGACGATATTGCACAATCCGGAACCGAACTCCGAACCAGGGTGATTGGGGAGGGTGGGAGGGAGGAGGGGGGGAGGGAGGAGGGGGCTCTAACTCATCTTGAAAGAAAAGGCACTCCTGTCGTATACCTGCTATTGACCCAAATGGTGCCTCTTTTGCATACCTGGCTTAAAATGTTGCATCTCTTTTAACTGCTGTAAACACACCTTTTTTATCAATAAATCACTGAACCAGAAAGATGATTCTGTTAGCTCTTAATGTAAATGTAAATGTACATGTAAATGTAGCGATTGAGAGGACAAACATACATGTCCTCTTTACATAGCTTTTTGCAGTGGGCGCGGACATCAGCATACTAAGGGCGCCGATGGCAGCCGCTATCAGTCCATTTATGAGCCCACTGAACCCTCCCAACCCATGATGAGTGATGATGTAAGTGATGAAGATAGACCACAACACCGGGAACTACGTCCCCTACTCTTTTCGAATAGTGTGTGGGTTCTTTAACGTCCCACGTCTTAATGTAAGGTCCTTTTACATACCGCAATGAAAAATTTCCCTACCCTTTCATATATAGCCTGTTCCAAGCTCCCAAGTCGCGCTTATATTTTCGCGCGCCTTTCACTTACGCGTCATCCCTACTATCTGATAGCCTAGCTGGAACAGGTGACATCCTCAAAAGTTACCCGGCCCTTTCGGACGGAGCGTGAGGTTATAGCGAGTTCCCCCCCAGGGTTTCGCCGAACTTCATTGTCATTGACTGACTTAATGCCTAATTCCAGGTCTGGAACGGTACTTACTTAAACACAAGTTGCTTGTTTTTATTTGTATAGTGCTCCTCAAGGAGAATACCGCTGTCCCACAGACACTACCTATAATCATTTGCTCCTATCCCGGCGTGCCACACAAGATAGCTAGGCTGATACATAACTGGGCTCCACTAATAACGCTTGACCAGAATGAAGTGTGGCGTCCATCAGGAGTAGAGCATTTCTTGTCCAATACCAAGTTGGAAGGGTGTGGTCAAAAGCCTGAACCCTCTTCGCTGACAAGTTCCAACCTAGAAAGGTGCAACGCAAACAGTTATCTCACCACCAAGGAAAGCCTCAGCTGTCCTTTATGTACTGAGCCTGTTTTTCTTCGTGGCCAACACCCAAGGAACGTGCCATTAAACGTCATCTTTCGAGAGCATAAGAACTTCTTGGAAGTCGCGTACTGGACGTTCTTCCCGTACAACCGAGGAAAGAGGGTCTGCTTTGGATATGTTCAAAAAGGGTGTTTTCTTTTGGGGAGAATTTGGGGCCGCTGTCCTTGTGGAGCGAACCTAGGTTGCATTGGGGAATATTCAACTTTTGGCCACCACGTTGGGGATTGGGAGAGAACAACGGTTCGATTTCGAAAAATCAATAACGACTCTCTGATCTATTCCATTCACTTGTCGATCCATGGCATCGACGTTACAAATAAGTTCGGTGGAGAATTTCTTTGGCAAGATGGTCATTTTAAGAAGCGAGATCAAACGATAGCCATGTATGGTGGTACTCATGCAGTGATCTACTCGTCCGAGGGCTCGCACGGGATGTGGCCGTCAGCTGGGAGACATGAGTACAAAGTCCTTCCAAACGGAGACACTCTAGTGGACTACACCAGTAGTGGGTTAAGCTGGTATACATGGGAAAGATTGAAACCCGTCCAGTACGATCCTAGAGGTCAATACAGCGGAGAGTTTAAGTTCCTGGGGTTTAAAGGCCGGTGGGGAAATAGAAAACAGGGTTGCGGTATCGTAGGGATGGCCATTGGTGAATGTCAGCTTAATAATGCTCCAGAAACTCCCTCTAGTTTCCCTAACTACCATGCATATTGAGGATAAGTTGTAGGATATCTGCTGTGTAACGAGACGGATCACTAGCTGATCACTGATAATAAAATGAAGAGTTTTTTGGCCTTTTTATAGCTGTTTTATGTTCCACTGTTTCACCTAAGATGTCCAAACAAGCTTAGAAGAGGGGCAGTCTCGACCGAATCTTGTTCAGTAAGCTTCTCTATCAAAAAAGAACTTTTTTTGCTAGATATTGATTTATCAGCTGGATAGCGCTATCCGACTTTCGTTTGAACAAGTGAGACCTTACCTGTCCGCCTCTTGAACAACAAGGGCCAGAGTTTAGTCGTATTAACCTTGGGCAAGAGTTGAGGCAAATTCGTTTGATCGGAAAAATATGTACCTTAATTCAACAACATCTATAGCCGGGGAGACTATAATTTTGTTACTTCAGATGCTCTATTTAATTTATTCTTTATATTTTCTTGATCAGTCAGTAAAAAGCTAAAAGCCACGCGTCAAAAGTTATGATATGGTAGAATGACTGGAATGAAAGGACTTCAGCTCGTTTTCTAAAGTTTTGGATCCAAATTTTTTTTTAGAGGGGTTTCATCTACCAACATTATAAACCACATGGGTTTTGCGATCCAGTGGCGGCGAAAACCGAACAGGGGGAGGGTACTACCCCCTGCACCCTCCCCCTAGATCCGCCCCTGACCAGTATTACTATAACCTGGGAAAAACCGATTAGTGACGGCGATATGGGAACAGGCAGTTACTACCTCTGTTTTAAACTGCCCTTCTAAGAGCAACAAGGATGATATGTTAAGAAAAGAAAAAATATATATCCCCGTTTACTTTAGAAGAAACTTACATAAAATCGCGCATCTTAAGAGAGGCTAAAAAGGGTACTCTCTCCAACAACGAAAGTGTTGAAAGTCTCGAAAGGCCAAGAAACATTTCGGGCCCGAAGGCAAACGGCTTAAAATTAAAACCTGTTGAACTCTAGCTCACATATCAGTTAAGTTTGCGTCGTTAAGTATAAAAACTGACTGATAGTTTAATTTTATCGTTTTCAGAATTATTGAAACTTTGTTAGCAAAAACGGCAAACGTAAAACAGCTTTCCGGCTCCGAAAAGACCGGGACTTTCGAGGAACGGGCCTTTTAGCTGGGCCTGATCAACTTTCGCCATTTTTATAAAAACGTGACCCACAGAACAATAGAGTATCGTTTAATCTTTTTCTTTAATACTGTATACATGTGTGGTGAAATTATACCCTCAAGGCGAAGATTGATGCCGATTAGGTTCATTCCTAGCCAATCATCATCTTTTAAAGTCACGTTTTCAGGAAATCAAGATCTCTTGCCACTGTCTGACTACAATCACTCGACATTAGAGGCAATGAAAACATAAGGTCCTAAGGTTCTTGACCCACAATCTACCTTTCCCCTTTGCCAATAATAAAAGGTCGTCGTTCAATTAAAGGTGAACTGGTTATCTTTCATTTTTCTGCATTTTTTAAACTATCACTGGTTGCCTAGTAACTGAGGAAAAGTTAATCTCAATTGGTTGATCTCCTGTACGTGTTGAATTCATGTGAATCATCTTTACTAAAACCTGCCTGCAATCTATATAACCCGCTAAGTATGATGTTCCTCTTCTTCGTCATGTTGTTCGCTAAAGTTGCAGGTTCAGGACAAAACAGGCCAAATGCAGGTAAGAGTTGAGATAGTTGGTCAGCTTTTTACACCACAGGAAGCTACAAGCCGCCTGTCAATGGCATCACGCGCTGTGAAATGAAAACTCTTTCTGTCCGAGAACGAATTGAAATCAAGTTACTTGAAAGACAGAGGTTGTTTAAAAGGAATTCATATCAAATAAGGCGTAATGAATATTCAAAGGACAATTTTTTTTTGATTGCGTGCCTCGCGTGGATGACTGTTTCCTTCTAAGCGCCGGCCTCGCTCGCTCAATTGCGATGAAGCAATAACCGAAAATGCATGACAGTTGTGTCTTCTTATGTATTCTCAGTGTTGCTGTCATCATAAGATCAAAGACGACGTAGAACAATGAATATTTGAACACGCAAACTAACTAACAAACAAAAACGGCGAAAGTGAGCAAAGGCAAGAGGGATCTTTTCTGTTGTGATCCCAGTGGAGGGAGGGGGAGGGGGGTGGGGGGTGAGGGTACTCCGGAAAGTAACAAGGATCATGATCGAAGGATTTTTGAGGGGATTTCAAATTTCCCATTGCAGAATTTTTGGGGGTAAGAAAATCTGGAAAGTTCCTTTTGGGGGGGGGGAGGGGAGCGATGCTGTGAGATTTAAGTACGTTTTCAAGGGGTGGGGAGGCATGGTTCAAAACAATCTGAAAATTGGTTTTGCATGGCACCTCTCGCGTATACCACTTGAGTAAGTACAACCCAGATTGTTTTGCCGTTGTTTTATTTACATGCAAATTTTCCAGTTATCAGTGTCACTTTTATTGTTTCTTTTCTATTAATTACTAAACTTATTTTACGTTAGAATTTTGTTGTTACTTTCATTAACGGTTATACTTCTGAAGATGTATGTGGAACTCATACAAAACGTCAGTGAAATTAAACGTCAAGTCAAAAGTAATATTTTTTTCTCGTTATGCGTTTTTTCCTTATGTTTATCATCGCAGATTGCATGCTGTTATTTCTTATCAAGCTACGATGGCTAAATAACAGGAGTATTTATGATAAAGTTGGCAAATATCAAACCCCCCCAAAATCCCCGGACCAAAATTGAATCCCCCACACCTACAAATCCTATGCCCCTACTTACTGAGACATGCCAACTTTAAAACTTATAAAGATAAAGCTTTTCGCTGCTAACATTTTCATTAAGGGTATGTTTCAAGTCCTTAATTAGCAGTGTCTCTTTAACTTTTACAATAGATATCAGACTTTCCTCTTGCCAATATGTCAAAGTGGTCCCATTTTTAGGGCCGTGACTTAAACCCCGGATTAACCCCCCAGGGGGCCCCACTCCTCCCTGGGGTCATCTCACTCTCACAGCTACCATTCTGGAGCGAATGTGACTGTCTTTTTTATGGCTCCTTTTTTTAGATAACGTCGACAACAGCAAATATTGTGGATGCACAAAGAACAACTTCCCACACTGCAACTGCTGCTCGGATTTTAAAGAAGTCAGCTATAAAGGTATCATAGTTTCATTGTCTTCAAAGTAATCCTAGTTGAAATATCAATTAATTTACCATGAGTAATCTATACTTACTCAATTTTACGACCCTGTGGCGATTGTCCCGATCGGTTATGGGTTGAATGCAGCTTAATTTCTGGTGACAAAGTTTTACATTGATTTCAAAAGGAGAGCTGCACGGGCCGGGATATTACTGTGAATGAATATTTCATTAGTGGTCCAATTTAAACCGGAAAGAGAACAAAGGCATGTCATTGGCATCCGCTGATAATTAACAGTTAATGAATGAGGCTGAGTATCTTATGAAGAATCATGGAGATCGAGGAGGGTGTTATCCGTCGAGGCCGTAGGCCAAGGCGGATAACATCCTCCGAGACCTCCATAATTCTTCTTATGATACGAAAGCCGAATTCAATAACTGTTTTATTATTCATTCAAAATAATTCCTAGTTTAAAAACATAGCTAAAGCATGCTTACCTCCATCGATCCATCGATGTTCAGTTCATCTTCGATAGTGTACGTTTAGGTTTGTCCAGCTCCGCAAATATTCTCCAAATAGCAGATGTCGCCCTTCGAGTTGTCTTCTTGCTGTTCTTGCCATGTTTTTAGCTATTTTTTCGCCTAGTTCTTACTCTTGAAACGAGTGAAATGTCCGCCATTTTTTCAAGTTCACAACCAAAACAACTCAACCTCGTCCCCAGGTCTTCTCGGTTAACGGTGCCTTAACCTGCGAAAACGCTGCATTTTTGACGTCATTTCCTCGTTAAAGTCAAAATTCTTCCAAATTTGGTCATCAGTAACTGGTCAATCAGAATCGGGGAAATATTTTGAATGAATAATACTCTTGAAGAGTGACGATATTGCACAATCCGGAACCGAACTACGAACCAGGGGGATTGGGGGAAGGGGGCTCTTGCCCGTATTGAAAGAAAAGGTACTCCTGTCGTATACCTGCTATTGACCCAAATGGTACCTCGTTTGCATAGACATAAATAACAAAACAGAAAAGAGAAAAGCGACATACCCAGTTTAAAACGCCCCATCTCTTTTAACTGCTGTAAACAAACCGTTTTTATCAATAAATCACTGACCCAGGAAGATGATTCTGCTACCTCTTTATATGAGCTTTTTTTACATACCGCAATGACAGATCTCCCTAGTACTCTCTCTCTAGTACCCTTTCATATATAGCCTGTTCCAGGCTCCTAAGTCGCGCTTATATTTTCGCGTGCCTTTCACTCTGCACATTATCCCAACTGTCTGAGAGCCTGGCTGGAACAGGTGAAATCCTAAAACCCAACAAAAGTATCCCTTTCGGGAGGAGCGTGAGGTTATAGCGAGTTCCTCCTCCGGGGTTTCGAACTTCATTGTCATTGACTGACTTAATGCTAAATTCCAGGTCTAAAACGGTACTTACTCCAACACAATTTGCTTCTGTTTTATTTGTATAGTGCTCCTCAAGGAGAATACCGCTGTACCACAGACACTACCTATAATGATTTGCACCTATCCCGCCGTGCCACACAAGATAGCTAGGCTGATACACAACTGGGCTCCACTGATAAAGCTTGATCAGAACGAGGTTTGGCGTCCATCAGGAGTAGAGCACTTCTTGTCCAATACCAAGTTGAAAGGGTGTGGTCAGAAGCCTGAACCCTCTTCGTTGACAAGTTCCAACCTCGAAAGGTGCAACGCAAACAGTTATCTCACCACCAAGGAAAGCCTCAGCTGTCCTTCATGTAATGATCCTGTTTTTCTTCGTGGCCAACACCCAAGGAACGTGCCATTAAACGTCATCTATCGAGAGCATAAGAACTTCTTGGAAGTCGCGTACTGGACGTTCTTCCCGTACAACCGAGGAAAGAGGGTCTGCTTTGGATATGTTCAAAAAGGGTGTTTTCTTTTGGGGAGAATTTGGGGCCGCTGTCCTTGTGGAGAGAACCTAGGTTGCATTGGGGAATATTCAACTTTTGGCCACCACGTTGGGGATTGGGAGAGAATAACGGTTCGATTTCGAAAAGTCAGTAACGACTATCAGATCTATTCCATTCACTTGTCGATCCATGGCATCGACGTTACAAATAAGTTCGGTGGAGAATTTCTTTGGCAAGATGGTCATTTTAAGAAGCGAGATCAAGCGATAGCAATGTATGGTGGTACTCATGCAGTAATCTACTCGTCCGAGGGCTCGCACGGGATGTGGCCGTCAGCTGGGAGACATGAGTACAAAGTCCTTCCAAACGGAGACACTCTAGTGGACTACACCAGTAGTGGGTTAAGCTGGTATACATGGGAAAGATTGAAACCCGTCCAGTACGATCCTAGAGGTCAATACAGCGGAGAGTTTAAGTTCCTGGGGTTTAAAGGCCGGTGGGGAAATAGAAAACAGGGTTGCGGTATCGTAGGGATGGTCATTGGTGAATGTCAGCTTAATAATGCTCCAGAAACTCCCTCTAGTTTCCCTAACTACCATACGTATTGAGGATAAGTCGTGGGATATCGCTATCAATAATTGTCATGTCTTCTTCCAAGAAGAACAACGTTTCGTTAACTTTGCGGAACACTTTAAAATCATTTGACTATAACACCAACTAAACTTGGGACTGCATGTGTTCAGTTTATTAAAATATTATAACCAGGGCTGTGTAACGAGATGGATCACTGATAAAATGAAGAGTTTTTTTTGGCCTTTTTATAGCTGTTCTATGTTGTACTATTTCACCTTAGATGTCCAAACAAGCTTAGAAGAGGGCGGGCAGTCTTGACCGAATCTTGTTTAATTATACTTCTCTATCGTCACAAATAGACTACGAGTTGTCCCCCATTTAATAACATGAATTTCGTAAAAATTTTTACCAATTTTCTTCACTACCCATGATCCCAGACGATCACCATTCACATCGTTTTTTCGTGTCAGGAGGAGAGCAGGGGGAGGGGGTCAAAACGTACTTTTGCCTGCCTTCGCCTTCTTTACATGTCAACTTGTCAATTGAGTTCGGGAAATAGAGAATGGTTTCCTTCTTTCCATGCTATTTCTAGTATATTCTCCAACCACACCTATTTTTTTTCCTGACACAGTTCGGTACTGGTTCTTCTGACGAAATGCTCGTGTAGTCTCAAATGTACGAGAAAACTCGCTACCTCTAACAAAGGTCAAAACAATTTTCTCCTCATGGTTTTTAAAAAATTAGAGAAACGGTCATAAAGACTTCTTCCTTTAACCTTTTCATTCCTTTTCATTTTATGTCAAAGTAATGTCGAGTTTTGTGATTGGCCAATTTTGACCTTAACTCATTGTCAGACCAAAGTTTAAATGGGACGATCTCCTTTCTTTTTTCTTTCAATCAAGTTTATCGATCACTACAAGTACGTCCATCTTATACAGATAAATATTTCTACAAGTATAACACTAATAAAAAAACTAGCATTAGCTTTTAATCAACCTGGCCACTCGATCGCAGACATGGGACTTATTCCGCTGGAATTGCAACCCACCCTCAGCACGTCACGCCTTATAGCCTGTGCCAGGCTCTCAGATAGTATAATGGGGACGTATTAAACGAGCAATTTCGCCACTATCTCGGAGCCTGGAACAGGCTACACGCCTTAAGGAAAGAGAAGCGTACCTCATAGATAGAGGCAAGACCCTGTCACCAGACGGTCTGAAACGAAGGAATGAACATTGAACTCTTTCTATTTCTATTTTTATTGTATAATCATTTACCTCAGTATATCATTCTATCTAGTATTTATAATTGTAGTTAATTATTAACCACTTAAAAATTCAAATTTTAGGAGTCGTTAAAAATATTTTCTCTCGCTATAGCTCTGGCCTTGAGGAATGCTAATTTTGTTAGCAGAAATATTGGCCTATAATAAATCAGCCCTTTGCCATGGTGCCAGCCCTGCATTCAGTTTTGTTTTATTTTGCACTTTAAGTGACGAAAGGCTATAGCATCTCTTTAATTAGAGATCCGGCCGTGAGAAGAACCAGTCAGTTATATTTACGGTCATTTACGTGTTGCGTGGACCTCTGCATTCAAACAGTTTTTCCTATTAGCTCTCCGTCATCTTGAACACCTTAGATTGTAACCTATACCACAGAAGAAACTTAGTTTACCTCTGCGACGCAGGGTACACTCGGGCAAACTCTGCGATTCACGTATCGAGAGGATTAAGCTCCCCGCGCGCCGTTACTTTTATATGGGGGCTCTCCGGTTTCCTACCTCGCCCCCTACATATCATACACCCTCGAGTTGAGAGCCTAGAGTTTATTTTAAAAAAAACATCATTTATTAATTTTTGAGATTTCCTGTTATTTCTGGGTTCACTCGTAATATTATATTTCCGAAAGAACTCTCTGCGGTAATTCAGTATCGTATTTCAGTGGTCTTCAGTGTCAGTGGCTTTCAGTTTTCTTCACTCACTGCAGATCTCTAATTTGCCACAAGACGATGTTGCTCGCATTTTCTATTGTGCTTTTCGCTGGACTTGCGAATTCGGCACAACCAAACGACCAAGGGATTGGTAAGAGAAACCCTTTCTATAAATTATAGTTATGTACACATTTTCGGGGCCGTTTAAAATGTACAGGAGTTACGTCATGTAGATTTCCACTTCACTTCTGACGTACTGCACAGATTTTCCATCTCATAGCCTACAAGAACCATAAAACAAAACACTATAATCAAGTGAACAGTTTAATTATTAGTATTTTTTTATTGGGAGAAACCGAAGGAGAATCGGAGTTAACGTGGTGCAACTGTGGTCTTTTTAGAGCCGGATTGTTACGCGTTCGGAAGCCATCTTGTCAGGTCAATAAACAAGTTAGAATGATTTATTTATGAATAATTTCCATAACACGCCGGAATTGAAAGAAATATATAACCTGTAAACCTTAGGTAGTTGCGAGAGATTTTACGGACAGCAAATTTAAGACAAGTACCTCATTAGAATATGCCCTGTCGCGTTTCAGAATAAACGAATGAAAGTATTTCCACTTTTTATTGGTCCTTTTTATTGGTCTTGGAACCCATGACCCATTATGGGGTTTTATCCTTTTTATCTAAATCGTATCTTTCCATCAATTGAATTCCAAAAATTAATGGACCAGGACAATTTGAAACTGTTTTCTGTCTCTTATTGCTACGGATGGCAAGGATAAACATGGATTAAAACGTTTTCAATATTTAAATGCTTTGTCTGCAAAAATCATCAAAAAAATATTATGGTTAGAGCTCCTTGAAAAAAGTTGTCTGATATCTTCTTCATAACTCCAAAAAGCATTTTGTGTATGGAATGATAAAATTTAGGCAGAGAATTAACAGCAAAATCCTTGTGACATTAATCCTCTTTATAAGGCATTTGATCAATGAGGCGATGAATGGGGGCGTATTTAGGGGGTAATTAACAAAGGATGCAAAACACAGTGCTAGTCGCAAACTTTAAATCAAGGAGAGGGGACCCTCCTCTTCCTTTCACGTGTTCCCCTCGCCCGGCCCGTTTAACCGGCGCCGGCTGCTACGCAAGTTATTAAAAACTTGATTTGATCAATTAGAGGGAATTTAGCACTGATCAACAGCTTTAACAAATGACAGGCGTAAACTGAATAACTGTCTGCCTTATTGAGGAGATTTTGCTGATATACATTTACTAATAATGCATGAAAACAGTTCAGGAACACCTCCTGAAACACCTTTGGACTGTTGTGTATCTTTTGTCTGTAGCCAATATTGACGCCAAATACTGTGGATGCACTGAAGATAATCTCCCACAATGCGGCTGCTGCGTGGACATTGAAGAATTCAACTACACAGGTAATGACTACAAAAAGAATTATTGTACAATAATTCTTAACGCAATGGATTACTCGGCTACTGTCTTTTTAATGTGTCTCAGCTTGTGAACTGTTATGCACGAACTACGGCCCAACTACTGGGATCGATTCAATATGTATCGTTCCAATCTTTCGAGTCATTGCAGAGATTGCTTCCCAGCAGAAGGCTCTTTTAGGCTTTTATCCCGAGGGGGGAGGGGGGGGTACTCCCTTATAAGGGCTTATAGGCACGTACGGCCAGCCAGGGTATGTTTTTCGGGATTTTTGTCTTAAACAGGGTATCGATTTTATCATTTTTTGTCTTAATCAGAGTATCGATTTTTATAATTATCAATTTTTGTCTTAAACAGGGAATCTTTTTAAATAGTTTTGTGATTGCCATGCAATGGTTTAAATTTGGAGTTTCGATATTTATTATTGTCTTACACGGGGTATGGTTTCGGGTTAAATGTCCTAAACAGGGCATCAAAAATCGGAATTCTGGATCTTAAACAGGGTAGGAAAATCGGCGATTTTGGTCTTAAACAGGTCAGGGTATGAGGGGCCGGGAGGACCCCTCCCCCCCACCGGGTTTTTTTTGTCTACGCTATACCAGTTAGCTTTTGATGCCGACATGAAAAACTATCCGGTACGGTACGAACAGCAGCGCAACAGAACTGGAACAAAGGCGTTTACACACATCGAACACCATGCCAGAGTGGTTGGTCATGATGTTTTGGTGCACTAAATCCCAATCATCACTTCTGGGTACAGTCAACTCTCTTACTTCTCGTAAGCGACCACTTCCCGTAAGCGATCGACAAGTGAATTGTAACATTGATGCAAAATGTTATGCACAAAGTTTTAACAGTTCCAAGTGCTATTCAAAGTATAAAATTATTAACCGTTGTCTATTTGCCTAAGTTTTAGCTTTTAAGTGATAACTTTATGTAATTATGTTAACCAGTACAGTCTTAGCTTTAGTTCCTGATTTTTCCTATAGGCGACCTCCTCCCGTAAGCGACCACTTTGTCCTGCAACTAGGGTGGTCGCTTACGAGAGAGTTGTCTGTATTTACTTACAATCCACTTTCAAGATCGGTGGGGTGCAGCTTCGCTCCGTTACAGAAATCGCGTCGAAATCTCCGTCCTTTCATGTATGTGTGAACAGAATCCCTATCCGGCGGTTCTCGTGTCGGTGTAAAAGCTGCACGGTACAGCGTAAACATATCCTCCGAAAAGGAATCTTTAGTAGTTCTCTCAATAATGATTTCTACACCGAACACTCAAGGCTTGAAAAAATGCGTAGTTCTTTTCTAACAGTTAAGACCAAAAATCTGGGATTCTTTACCCTCAGAGATGAGAAACTTACCAAAATCTACCTTTCGGAAAAAGCTAAGGAGTAAGCTCTTTGAAATATTCTCTAAATCTGATGACTATCTTGAAATCGATCACCGAAATCATGCATCAACTTAAATTTAACTAGCTCAGGAACATGACTTAATATATTCTCTGTGTAGTTCACATTGTAATTTAAATAGCTTAATTCATAGTATAATTCTTATTTTACGACAGCTGGTTCTGTTTGAGAAAATATTTCTTTTTTTTCCTTTCCTTTTTTTTAAATTTGTCTCTTCCCCAGCATTGATTAGGCTTTTCTATACGCGGGTAGAAGCTATCGTGAATGTTGTAAATTATTTGTGTAAATGAATGAATAAAGTTGAATGAATTGTTTAGTAGGTACTCATGAAATCCTTTCTATCATACACTAGCTACTTTTAAAGCCGGTATGTCAGGATGACTAGTGCCAACTGGAAAAATCATGCGCATCTTCATGCGCTACTAAACTGCGTTTAAACTGATTACTCGTGTTTCTTTTTTTTTTAGTCTGTGCAAACCTGACCTACATTGAAGCGGAACTGGTGAGTACAGCTATTGTGTTAAAAGCTGTTTGAATAATAGAAGCCTCTTAAGTCCTACCGGGAAAAGCAGTGGCGCTCTAGTGGTAATTCGCCACTGAAAAAGCGAGAACGAAACTGTACCGAGTAAACTTTTCAGACTTCTGGCTTCTTGGCTTATGCGCATGCACGAAAACAAAAAAAAGCTGCTGCCATTCTCGTTCCCAGAGCTGAGCTTCAATCCCAAGTTTTGGTCAGCGTATAGGACCAAAAGGATTGAAGCTCTGGGAACGAAAATGCTTAATAATTAACTAATTAACTAATTAGCAGAAATCTAAGTCATAAGTGCTGGAAATCTCTTTTCCAGCTATTCCCATGCTGGCCGAAAAACGGTTCAAAAAGAAGGATTTGGTCCAAAATGAGGTTTTTCCTAAAAATAGGCTGACGGCAAAGAGTTAATTAACGTCTAACTATTGAATTGGTCAAATATTCTTGCAAGGACAAAAAAGATACTAATTAAGGTTATATTTAATAACTTTTCAATGCATTTGTACAAAATTCCTGTCACCTCCGTGTTTCAAGATTCTTATAGCGGACAGTTTCATTCCGACAAGTTTTTCAAAACTGGAAGTAACTAGTAAATAGATTTGTAAGTCTTAAATTTCAAACAAATTATCAACCTTTACTTTAAGATCTTTTGTTCTACTTCAAATCGAGGTTCCTTTGCAGCTGAATACCTTTTATCATTAAGAATGGCGTTTTTACACGTTTGTCCATTTAAATACTGAAACTCCGAAATATTCAGCAGTAATAAACTCGAAAATATAAAGCACAGTACAACTGTGAAGTGCTGCTTAATAGGTTTCAAGGTTGCAAGAGGGAATTATGTTCACTAATTCCACGTACTAGACTTCATATCTTTGTGACCTTAACAGTGCAGAGGCGATTAAAATTGACGTACGGGTAATCCGAAATAGGTTGAGTGCAATTTGTAGTTTATATTATATATCGGCGAGGCACTCCTCTCCATCAATGCTAGTAGCTACGCAGATTGGACGTTCTCGGGAGGATTGTGTTCAAGCAGACATCTACGCATGCAGCCGTAGTGATCTCGATAGCACTCCGGGGCTGCATCGTCTCCTGGGAATTTTTGTCTGCACTTGTAATGTTTAGCATTGCAGTCACGGCAGCAGTCGAAAAGATACAAGCAAAGCCAAGTGCATTTGTCATTTCTGTTGAACGCAACCGTAGATGCTAAAACACAGTCGCCTGGCTTGCGTTGGAATTGAAAAAAGCTCGCGTTTTTCTGTTGAAAAATGAAGAGAAAAAGACTAAGGCTTAAATTATCATAATTCCACAGAGATTTTGAACATCGTAAAATAATGCAGTTTAGTGGCACTATAAGTTTAATTTATTTATGTGTCAAGAAGGGTGCTTATTCCAAGAGGGCGCCTATCGGTTTTTGATAATGTAGGCCTAAAGACGACTTGTTTAAAGTAAGTAAATCAAGTTCATATTTCCTCACAAATTTATAAAAGTTTAACTGTCCGTGAAAATTAACGCTCTCATAACGCTTGATTAACCTCGTTAATAGTGCTCTCATTAAATTTGCGTCCCTCTTTAAACACTTCCCTCGCCTTACTATTGATGGCCTTAACAGTAACAAGCCAGTTTTAGAAGCCTAACTGAAGATATTAAAATTAAGAAACCGCGCTCACCGTTAAATACTCAGGTACATTCAACTTATCGCACTCTTGTTCGCAAATGGACAAGCATTTTGTAGACTCGTCGTGCTCCACAGGGACGGAATCCTGTACGAACCCAAAACTGGTCGTAGCCCCCAGAAATTTCCTGTGTCCAGGTTGAAAGAATCGCCGAACATATTCTTCCGAGGTTATGGAATTTACCACAGCAATGGCGAGTGGGACTGTCAGAATGAAAGAGCATGACTTCATAGAGGTCTTCATAGCGAGTTTGTTGTTTGGCGGCACAAACTCGGACGATTAGTCAATAACAATTCCACCTTTTTTGGCATTGCGTCTTTATGTACTTATATTTCTTTGTTCGCCTTTGAGTGAGCAACAAACAATTGGAGCAAATTAAAGGCTTACTTCTTAACTCCTAATCCGCAGTGTTTAGAACATTTTGGTGAATTTATAGGTAGAATTTTAAAGATTTCAAACTATATATATTTTTGCAATCAAAACTTAAAACCCATCTTTTGAGAACATAATGCCCAATGCAGTCTAAAGAGCTAAAATTTGTAAATGGTCCAACACGTACATGTTGTCTGTTTAATTCAGTTCAGTTTTTTCCGCATAACTGCATCCCTTGATAACATATCGGAAGTAATATCTGTCAAAACGTAGGAGCATTACGCCTGATTTGTCCAGAACGAAAACAATATTTGAATGCTTGGTTTCTCGTCCAAACAATTGGGGTGGATAAGAATTTTTAATAGTTGCTTATAAAGTTTAAGTCCACTCAAAATAACGTCGGAAACATGAAGTGAATTCATGCGTTTAGGTCGGCTTGCTTCACAATATATATGGTATTGAGGTATTTACTTTAAGCTCTCACAAAGGGAGAGCAAACAAAACAAAGAAAACCAAAAAGTTGATACTAAAAACAAATTTCAGTTCATTTGTAAACCTTGATTGCGCAAACTAAATTACCAAAGGAACTTTGTGGAGTGTGATAAACGCGTGCTTGCCAAAAAATAAAGGCTGATTTAAATTGCTTCGCGTACTAGCTAAGGATTTTACAAGTTCGACACTCCTTTCTCGTTGCAATAAAGGCGGGCTATCACTATGGCACGTTTTTATGGTACGCAAGGTGGGACATGTTGCTAGGGACAAGTTGCTAGGGAAGTAATCGTTTTAAGCCTTTTCAAGAATAAACCCTATTATGGGGACAGTTTAACCAACAGCCTTGTTAGTCATGTTGCAAGAAAAATGCCTCTTTTTTAATTTGCTCGTCAAAAAAATGACCACGGTTTATCCCATTAAATACCTGCGAGCTAAAAGGGCGTGTTTTTGTACCAGGACATTTTGCAAGGCAGCCTTTATAAGCTGCTTCGCTTTACTCTTGTACATAAATGGACACATTCTGAGAGTATTGAATCAAAAGCTCAGAGCTCTTTTGGACAATACTAGTACCCTTAAGAGCGAAACTAACAACGAAAAAACAAAATAAAACAATTTTTCAGAAAAGGTCACTAAGTTCTGCACCTGCTTATCAGGGGTTCCTCTCGCACCAAAGGAAAAGTGCCGAATCAATAAATAATTAAAAGATCCCGTGTAAAAGGACGTTCATGTACGATTGTGCTTGAGTACTGCCAATTGAAAAAAAGATTGACAAAAATTATAACTTAATTTCCTCTGTTTTTGGAACATTTAGTGACTATTGTAAATTTCAACATTTCGACACCTTTTGGAAAGAGAACAATCGATAGATCAATAGATCAACGTTTCTTCTGTCTAAGAGACAATTCATTCTTTAAACCCGATGGCACGTATAAGGGCTTGTTGAATCCCGCTAAAAGTGAAACCGGCGTGAACTTCATTTACACAAGAGATAATAAGTATTTTAATGTGTACATTTTTTGCCATCTTTCTTATATTTTATCTCTTTGTGATTCGTTCTGTAGCTGCAATAATTTTGCTTTTGTTTACACTCTTAACCTAGGATTTTAATTTTTGTTCAGTAATGTACATCAACTGAGTTGTCAGCGCCTTTGTCATCAATTTCTGTATGTTTACTTTTTTCAGGGAATTCGGTTTACTCTGATGGTTAATGGTGAAGTGTATATCAACGAAACGCTGTCTGGTAAGATGAGCTTTTTTGAACTTTCCCTGAAGATCCTCAATAAACAGGTCAATGATAAGTGAACCCTTTACCATGGTTTAGTAGAGGAGAGATTTGAAAAGGCAATGGAGAGAAGAAGAGAGAGGAGAAGGGCTTTCCTCTTTTTCTCCCCTTCTGCTTTCTTCGTCCTTTGACGTCTTCTCCCCTTTCCCCATAGGAAAACCTCATAGTCAGGTTACAGTCGGTACTCGTCACATTTGTTGAAACACCTGTCACGGTACGCCCTCCCCAATGTTGATTCACGTATCACCTATTTGCAAATAAACGCGAATCTCGACATTAGGGAAGGACAGAGGAAGTATACTCGGGCGAAGGTAGATGACAATGAGTGACATGAAAAATTTCCTCAGTTTCAGTCTGCTATGTCAGTCAACGAAATTTGACGATATTGTCAGTAGTATATTGATAGTGTAGTGACTAATTCAGCTTGCGTAGCAAGTAGCAAGCATTTCCTTGCTTCTTAAGAAAGTTTGTCTCTTTGCAGGTTAATTGACTAATAACAATTTGTGTTCGGGACACAAGCAGACCTCAGAACCACAAAATAATTACCGTTTGTCCCCGCTGTTGAGATTTTTCTTCTAGTGGCCTTTTTAACGCAGCTCGATAACATTCCACAAACATGTTAATTGTTCACGGCTTTTTTAATTTCACAGTACGTCATTTATTATGGATAATATTAAATGATCAATGCATTGAAAACAGAAAGTTACTTGCCCAGGATCTTTGCAAATTTGCTTAATATACGGTACAAAGCAATCAACTCCTTTCTCGACAAACCCCGTCTAAAATTCTCGAGAATTAGCGGCAAATCCGGGGATTTTCCTGAGAAATTTTGTGCAGGTAGAGTCGGTCTCCTCCATTCTTCAGTCACCTTCTTTGATTTTCTATACGATGGACTCCCCTGTAAAACGGACACCTAGAGCTGGTCCCTGCCGTTTTTCAGTATTTTTTCCTAACTCTTTATAGATGGACAGAATGTTCCTGGTGAAATTTTACTGTAAGATCGAGAAGAACCCCTGGGGACTTACTCTTACCGAACCAGTTCCAGAGGCATTTGAATTCCCTGCTTCCGATTGGCCAAAAGAATAATTTCTCGATCTTATAGTAAACTTTCACCAAGAACATTCTATCTTCCCGACTAGCTGCTCCTGGATCTCCGAGGATGAGATGGCCCCTGCCATTCTTCATTCTCCTTCTTTGACTCTCTAGAGAGAATTGACTGCACATGAAAAGGAAAAATACTTTCTTTTCTTTGTACACAGGAAGAAACCCCCCTCCCTTGTGCCGCGGGGTCATAGACGTGGCCGATTTCTGTGTTAAAATCTACAACGTATCCTACGAAGAGGGCAATTTTGGTGGCTGCTTAGAGTTATACGCAGATTTTGTGGAGCGAGTCTTTGACCTGAAGCTTGGCTGCTGGTATCTAGACGATCAGGTTGGTAGCTCTGTGGCTGAGGACAACATTACTGAGGAGCCTGTGGACGAGAGAGTTAATCTCCGCTCTCTTTTCAAACTCAGCAACAGTGCAAAGGAGCGAATCTTTAATGAGATGAACAAGTGGTCCGACATAGACGGGGATTTGGGTGTTTCGAATGGCATCCACAGTGATCGTCTTCCCGTGGAGGCTTCGGTTGAAGAATTTGAGGAAACAAATGATAGTTTTTAATTTCATGTGACAGTATATTCGTCACTTTCTTAACTGTGTAGTTTTTTTGATCGATGTGCACGCTCGTAGTACTAGTCACTCATTTTCTTAAATCCCGATCTATAACTTGTAGTCTTCAGAGTGTACAACTATTAGGCTCCGTTAAAGAGAAAGTGCCATAAAGATTTAGTAGACCATATCCATGAAATCCTACATAATTGTGTTAATGGAAAATCAAACAAGCTAGTGGCATAGTCTTACAAAAAGTGGGTCGGTAATACTACATAAAAAATTGTTTTTGACCAAGATCAATAGAAAGCAAGAGGACCAAAACTTGCAAAAGTCAAGCTGGCTTTTTCAAGCTTGGATAAGGTTGCTTCTACGTCAAAAAATAGATTGATTACTTTGATCGTCAAGGGCCATTTTGCTGGGGGAGTGAATTCAATGTAAAGGGCCTAGGAAAACTGAAATTAATATCCCCTAATTTTTAAGGGGCCTAATTTTGGCGTGGCTCAGGATTTATTCGACACCAAAATGATACCTTTGAAAGTAGATATACGATGATTCATTTAATCAACTGGTTAATTGATGAATAAAATGCTATTTTTATAACCTTTCACTAACAATTCTTTATTCGGTAATTATAATGCGCAGTCGTAATTTAGCATGCGTTGCATGACAGGCGTCGAAAGAGATGGAGCAGAGGAGGGCTTAGGGGAAAAGTAGGTGGATTGAGGAGAGAGGGGCCCTAGGGGGGGGGGTAACGGGACCCCCCCCCTACTTGGTAGGCCTTTTTTTAAGCAAACAACCTTTTCAGGTGAAAACCCATGACAATTGAATAGCCACAAAAGCCATTTTAAAAGCCCACTTTTTAAGAGTAGATGAAACGGCTCTTGTCTTTAAGAATATGGGCGTGGAGTTCGACATAACCCTTTGAGCCCTGAGAATGATCAGCATTAAAAAATCCTTGTAATATCCCCTGTTTTGTAGAACAGAGTGGGAGTGGAGAATTACGGACATGATCCCTCCCCTTTTGAATTTTTCTTGATATCTTAATAACCATAATCCCCATCTTTAAAAGGAAATGAACAAACAAACTGGGTTTAGAATTCAAATTTTGATGTTAGGGTGTAAAGGGTTAAGAGTCATTAAGTTTCGACCACTAAGTGTGTTAAAAACCTTGACCGACCGCTATTTGTGCGGATGTGCGCCTCTTATTAAAATAACAGTTGGATTCAATAGCTGTAATCTAATAACATTGGCAAGGTCACATGAAAAAGCTTATTCTAAGTTAATTTGTTCTCGCGCGGGTGATTGCGTGTGGTTTGCTGTCGTGCTACGTGCTAAGGCTGCGAGGATTATTTTAAAAAATTTTCAGGATGTTTGTGCCACTTTTCGTTGCTTTTTGCGCTGGTTTAGCCACTGCAAGTCGCATCAAAGAGGCTCATTCGGCAGGTAAGCCTAAATTAGCGTAAATGGATCTCGACGTAATCGATGAAACTTTTTTAACGGCCTTTAAATTGCTATCGCGCAATAAGGGAATACAGTATTTCGTTTAGATGCGGTTACTTCTTCCCAAATCCTATTACTTCTTTATCTTGGGTGCAGAAAACATCGCTTAAATCAAATCTTAAACGGCTAGTACGATCTAGTACGAATTGTAGATGTAAGTACACTGTAGGAGGCGAGGGGTGGAAGGGGGGTGTGCACAAAAGAGAAGATTAATTAGTATTTTGTATTTTAATTGGGTTAAGGGACGGGTAGGTGCGTAGCTTTCCAGAGAGACTTTGGACTGAGTAATCCATCTGGCCGGAAATACGAACGGATGTACAAGCAACAGATCCGCTTTTCATTTGGTGTGTTTCGTTTCCAAACAGAAAGACGATAGATACTCGGGTGATATACTACAAATCAGCGTTGCTAACACAGTTTCCCAGAGAAGGATATAACACAGTACACCACATTGACAAGACAGACTTATTGTAGACTTAAATATTTCAAAGCATTACAAAATTGATTACCACAAGGTCAACAAGTCCAAGGCTCAATTATTGAAATGTCCAGGACGCAGTTGTTTTTTTCTTTTCATATTATTTTTGGCACGTTTTCCAGGCGGTACTCTGCTGTAATGGAGACAGTAAAATGAGAATGTCGCCAAATTGTTGAAAAAAATACCATTATAATGTAAACCCAAATATTTTTTTCCTGTGCATAAAAATTGAATAACGGCCTAAAAACTACCTCGAAACCTTTTTAGCTAACACAAACCTCGGATCGGAAACTTCTCGTCCATCCTTCAAAAATGTCTTTGAGCCTCCCGGCCGACACTATTTTACCCCGGGTGGTATTTGGGTTAATTTTTGCTGGGTATGTGCCGTTGGCCTCTCAGAGCCCCTACCCCATTATAGTCTATTCTGTGGCCAATTAAAGACCCCATCTTTGTCACTTTTGGGCAGATATAATTTTCGCGATCCCAACTCAGTCACTTTCTTATCTATGTATCTACCTCATCAATCCTTTAAACTGAATTGACCCATTTTTTTAAATTGAATGAAGTACATTTTATTTACCTACAGTACAAACAAACATTCTGGTACGTTTGCTAACCGTAAATGTGAAGAACCGTTTCTTACCCCAAAAATCCGAAAATGTGCGATCCCATTCTAGTAACTCTATTGAAAATGCAATCCCATTCTAGTAACTCTATTGAAAATGCGACCCCATTATAGACAATCCAGTCGTGAAAATGTGACCCCATCCCCATTAGCCTCCTATAAGGAAGTAACCCCCCAGGTATTTTACCTTAGTACCCCTCCCTGCTTGCGCATTTTGCAAGCTCACCTTGGTTGGCCTTTGGTCCTGCATGCGGGTTATAAGACCCATCAGGAATAGCAGGCTTCTAACAAGCAGTTTTTTTTTTGGTCATCTGCAAGAGCACGTACTCTCACTAAAACCTCATCAGTTGTCACAAAGTGGTTCTTTTTAAGGTTTAGGTAAGATAGCGTAGAGCAAGATGTGTTGGCTTTTATTAAGTTTAAAGGTAACCTCAATACAAGAAAAAGTTTTTTTATGTTTCTTCTCCGAGAGAGAGGAACGCGAGCTCACTTCCCGAAAAGCGGCTCGTAACCGAGCCAACCTCGTTCCCAGGGCTTTTCTCCTTCCATTTTCTAAAGGAAAAGCTTGGGGACTGCGCGGCAAGGGACGGGACGGGACGAGGTTGTAATCGATAAGATTTCTACGTTTCTGATTGGCTCAATCTCCAGGTTAATTCTTCATAACCAGCTACCCCTGACCAAACATTTTACTTACTATTTTTAGTTTTAAATTAGTTTTATTTTTATTTTTTATGAAAAGTGCCTTCAAAGCCCATAGATTTTGTCACTGATGACCACTGCTCATGCACCAAGGACCCTGTCCCACAGTGCGGCTGTTGTGCTGATTTCGAGTATGAAGAAAAGACACATCATAGTAAGTAATATTCCTAGACTTTCACTCAACTAAACAGGGACTGCTATTGGTTGATTCTTGATCACGTGGCCTTGATTAAAATCTTCCCGATTTACATTACAGCACGTGAACAAAGCATGGTGGAAAGTGGCGTGACAGAAGGCTGCCAGTTTTCCTCGATCCTGCAACGAAATCGTAGAAGAGAAACAGCAGCTAGTGGAGGAAAAAGATGCAGATAATATAAGGAAAGTACTTTGTAAATCATTCATTCAGTGGTTTTAAGAATTATATTTGTGTTGTTAAAAGTACCGAAGATATCTTTGAGCATTTTCCCTTGGGACGCCAGCATCTTGATCCTGCATAAATAGGATGTTGGTTTTTCAAACCAGGCCTGCTCGCTATAGCGGGCTTAGTTATGACCATCGGTTTATCAATAACCGGATGCTCAAACTCGAAAAAACCAGTTTGACGAGAGAGAATAAGATTGAGTAGTCTAGAAGTTTGGGTTGTGGCGAACGCAAAGGTTTGACGTGATTCAGACAGGGACAACCATCACATTTCAAGTCTCACTTACAGATTTCACCACTGATGTTGTATAAATGCTTTTTACTTCTTTCAGTTTGTGTAAACACGTCTTATATTGCATCGGAGAAAGTAAGTCTCATTTGTTGATCATGTGTGTCAGTATGAAAAGCTAGATCTGTGAACGAAATCGTGGGCATATGACATAATTTATCACTCCTTGGGCACTCCCTTTTGACAATAAAAGGGGTCGCTTATAGGAAATTTTCGACAAGACCGCTAATGGGATGGGTACAAGAATCTCGTTATGATGGCAAAATTATTTTTATCGACACGAAGTACCTTGCTCCAGGCTTGGTTGCAGTTTAACAAATTTACCTTAATGCTGAAAATTACGACCAGAGAAGCTCTGTTGAAAACCATATTAATTTTGCGTTTTGTAGGCTCTGAGATTTACAGTGACTTTTGATGGAAAGGTCCTCCTGAACAAGACTCTCTCGGGTAAGAGTAGCCTAAGGGATCAGGCCAGTTTCAGCCCAGGTTGAAATCTCGGTCCGCATTTTGCTCGATTACATGGCGAGTTTCAGCCCAGGCGCAATGTTTAGAATTAGGCGCAAAAAATTTGCAGAAAAGGTATTTTACATTCTCATGCAAACTCTTACACGGCGCAACCCTAAGTTCATTTTTCAGCCCGGACTGAAATTTGAATACAATTTCGCTCCGTGTAAGGGAAATCCAAGCAGTCTTGGATTCTGGATCCCACGCCATGGATTCCGGATTCTAGGTACTGGGTTCCAGATTCTTAGATAGCGGAATCTGGATTCCGAATTCTAATCGTTAGTGGGATTCCGGATTCGTTGAGCTGTATTCCAGATTCCACGGCAAAACTTTGCTAGATTCCGGATTCCACAAGCAAAAATTTCCCAGATTCCGGAATCCGAATTCCCTTACGCGGGCCGAACAGTAGATCACTTCCGAGTTCTCCCGAGCCTCTGTTTCAAAACGAGGGTACGTGCTCAGCCTTCGATACGGAAATCATTTTTCATTCTCACGCAAATAAAACTCATTTTCACAAAAAAGGTTGTCAGGACCTAGCCTCATTTTGAAAATGAGGGTTTTTGGAACTCGGAAGTGGCCTATTATAAACGAGGCTTTTCGCCTGAGCTCGTCTAACTGGCTGAAATTTATAGCCTGGTTTGTTATACCTTGCAGGGGGTAGAAATTTCAGCTGGGGCTGAAAGCTATGACTTCGCGTAATAACAAACAAAGCTTCTTCTGAGATTTACTCGAGAGGCCCAGCTGATCAAATCTCAGCCCCGCTAATCGGCCTGAATCCCTCTTCTCCCGGTGTTGAAACTCGCAATGTAATCGTCTTCTAAGTGAAAACAATTCCCAGGAGGTGCTTGATTTCGGAAATTTTCTAAAGCAGCCCTAAAACAATACTAAACCCTTGTTTTGTGTTCGTGGCTGAAATTCGTCTTCACCCCTTTTAAAAGTTAAAGAACTACCTGTTGTAAGACAACGAAGTACTCTGCGACACATTAAAAGGGAATTTCCAATGTCCTGTAATTTTTACTTAAGGAGTAAATAAAATAGAGAGATTTTTTGGAATTATTTGACAATGGAAATCTACCCTAAAAGGCACTCCAATAATTCTTAGCGCCGAGGAAGAACTTATCGTCAAATTTTTAACGAAACTGTCGCCGGCTTTATCTCAAAAGTCACAATAAGGTGTCACTGTTAAAATCCTGTTATCTTTTCGGCTGGAACAGAAGTATTTGCACGTTGATATTTTTGTACAGTTGACAGTTGACAAAAGTGACATCTTGAAACAAATTTTTTTATGGTTTTTACGCAGCAAAAAACCCACCACCATTTTGCCAAGGATTAAAACCATTAGCTTACATCTGCGAGAAGTATTCCAATATGTCCTACGGAGATGATAACAAATGGGGAGGCTGCCTGGAGATCTATGGCGGAGTGGTCGTGCAAATCCTCGACATCAAGTTCGGCTGCTTTTATTTGCCTGTCGACGTATTGGAGGTAAACCGGCATGCTTACCCCTGTAGCACATAACATAGAAGTTGCGAGTCCTCGAAAGTAATAACCCTCGAAAGTACCAGCCCCCTACCCTCCCGCCCGCCTCGAAAATGAAACGAATCCCCAAAAGTATAAACTCCCACCTCTTATACACCTCTTTAATCTGAAAAACTCTCGAAAATAACACATTTCACAAAAATCCCCCCCCCCCCCCTTGTATGTAGTTTCCCTCTGCAATTCATACAGTCACACCCCTCTGTAACAGACCCAGTGAAACCCTTCCCAGTGATTTGATTCAGTCGACCCAGTGATAATTTAACCTCCCACCCGCGAATAGTTTTTTCTAGCTGGCTGATTTTTTTCCTCCGCGATCCCCGGTCGCTTTCTATCATGACTTCTACAAGACCAATGTATTTCGTTGTTCATATTTGTTTGAAAGAAACAAAAATATAAAACATTATTATCATAGACAAAACCAAAATAAGGAGGATACTGGTCATCAACCTTGCATAAAAAAGTGTAAATCTTATTGTTCTTCTCGCTACAACAATATGTAAAAGGGCTTCAAAGTTATCATACCGGTAAAGATGTAAGGCCTGCCACCCCTTTCCACTTTTATGAAAAGTACACAACTAAGAAGAAAAACCCAGTGGAAAATAAACAAACCCGGTGACGTTTTCTTCGAGAACCCAATGAAGATATAGATTCCTTTGGGTGTACAGTCAGCTCCACCCCTTTGGTGCCCGCATTAGTAAGGAGGGGGGAGGGATGGGTCGGCATCACGTGTAGTACTAATAATTTGTGGTTTTATAATCATAGTCTCATATCAAGATGATAACAGAAGAGCCAACTAACCCAACTTTGGTGAACCGCTTCCTGGATTTCTTAAAGGAAACGTTCAAGGAACAGGTGCAGGGATGGTTTGGATGGGAGCCGACTGAGGAAAAAAAGTACAGCAACGTGACGTATAGCTTACTTAGGGGCCGCATGGATGACGAAGAGGACGAAGGAATTTAAATTTCTAACATTAAATATAAAGCGAAAAGCGAAAAATCAGTGGTTAACGGAACGCAAACTGGAATTTCTTTTCTAGGATAGTTTAATAGTAGAAGTTGCCCGATAGCACATGCTAAGTGTTGTTTCATTAATGCGCAAGCATGATTTTAAATTTCCTTTTCATCTTTAAACCATTAGCTTCTACGATTGTTGATTAGAAATTATAATGCAAGTGAAAACCTGAACCGCCCAGAAAATAAAATTACTGCTGTCCGCAGACGCTTTTATATTAGATGTCTAAACCCTTCGGTATTTCTTTAAAACTGACTTCAAGGGAGAAAGGGTCAGACTTCTTGGGGTCTTAGTATTAAAATCGTAAATCTGATGGTCAATGTAAGTTGACTTCTAGCCTAATTTGAGGTAATTATTAGGCGAAAGGTTAAATAATGAACTTTCATCCACTAGTACGATTGCTGGGATAATCAATGTTACAGGAGTGTTACGTCTCCTCTGGCAGCGATTATCGTGAACAAGCAAGATCTTTGGTTGGAATTTTAACGTTTGCACTTTTTTTAAGGCTAGTATGGGAGTTGCAATGCTTGTATCGCTCTTTCATTAATTATAGAGCATTGAAAATTAAGCCTTAAACGAGAGCTATTTTCATTGAAGACAAAGCATGTTCAAACAAATAAACAGCTTATACATTTATTTACTTTCTAAGGAACCTTTATATTTGTCAATCCCTTTAATTTTAAATTCCAGCCGCGCGCTTTCTCCTTTGATAAGCTTTTCCAGGAGCGGTGCGAGAGCGCGCTAAGCTGGAAACGAGCGCCCAGTGTCAGGAACTGGCAACAGAAAAAAAGGAAGGGCGCGGGGCACGATGGGCGCGTCCCCCGCGCGCTTTCTATTTGTCGATTATTGCTATTTTCATTGTGGTACCCAGCGTGAGCCCCTGCGGAGGAAGGAGTTATCACAAGAAGGTTTTTCACTCACCCTCGTTTGAAAAGTAAGGGTTTTTAAACTCGGAAACGGCCTATGTGAAATTCACCTTCGATCGTCACAAACGAAGGATACTGTAGAACAGGAAAGATGGAAAGGCGCCTTGCATGATCGAGGCGTCCAACATTTAGGTATTGAAAAGTTTAACCAACTACTGCACTAAGGCGATGTCAACGAGAATGCTTCCAAAAAGCACTGGGTTTCATAATGAAAACGGCATCGCTAAGGGCATCTCGCCTTTTAGTACACTCGTCCCGCACGGCCATGGCACTATTGTGACGTGAAATACAGGAAAAACCAATAACATTAACACTTCCAGGAGGCAACGGGATCACGCCGGGGGGCAACCTCGTCCCAGGACGTTTCCCATTTTTAGGGCCCTGGGGGAGGGGTCGATGGGGTTTTTCACGACCGGATTGACTATAATGGGGTTGCATTTTCAATAGAGTTACTAGAATGGAGTCGCACATTTTCGGTTTTTTTGGGAGAAGACAGTTCTTCATATTTACGATTAGCAAACGTACCGGAATGTTTGTACTGTAGATGAAAAGTAACGTGTTCTTCGTTCAATCTAAAAAATGGGTCAATTCATGAAAATAGAAAGTGACCAAGCTGGGATCGCAAAAAGTACATATTTACCCAAAAGTGACTAAGATGTAGTCTACAATTGGCCACAGAATAGACTATAATAATGGGGTAGGGGCTCTGAGAGGCCAGCGACTTATACCCAGCAAATATTAACCTAAGTACCTCCCCCCACTCCCCCCCCAACTTCCACTAATGATTACGCCGGGGGTAATTAATTAACTCAGGAGCCCATCAATGGGCTCCTGATTACTACATCCATTCCTAGCTACAACAGCCCGCGTGTTAGACGTACAGATGGGACTGGGAAAAGGGAGAGGCAACTGGAAAGATAAGAAAAGAGACCTTTCCTTCCCCTCCCTCCCCTCCCCTCCCTCCCTTTTTTTTCTTGCCCGCCACACAGCCTTGCTGCCCTTCCTCTTTCGAACCTGTACTTGAATACGCTTTCTAGCAATCAAATGGTGGAAAAATTTTCGCGCACCTGTAAACTGTAGCACTTGAAATAATCGCATTGAAGTTTAAAATAGCTATATTATATCCATCGTAATTGGCGGTTTTGTTGGGTAGGGGCCGTTGAGGTGAGCGCGAAAGAGCGGTGAATAAGCGAGGGGATCGAATGATGGGCTAACAAAAGAACGTAAAATGATAAATGACTCTGGCCCTTGGAGGCTCTTTGAGACAACACGTGAGATAGGGCAGGCGACTGCCACAACTCTTGTTTCCAGGGCTTAAGCTTGCAGAACAGACGAGGTTGGTGATTGTCAAGGAGCGATTTTAAAAATTAGATCCTACAAACACGAAACGAGAGAGAGATAGACATTTGTTAGTCTTGCCATTGTTCAAATGGTTTAGATATTGACAGGAGTCTATGGGTCATAGGCTCCCGATATCGATCGAGTAAAAGCTTTATCTGTGATCATGTCCATAATTTTGACACCCGTGATGAAACATTGTTTTATAAACTCAATATTGTCTAAGATGCCTCCATTTTGCCCGTTCCTCTCAATACGCAGGTCTAGTTTAGCCCTCCCTCCTAAGTTTTTGTAGAGGCTCTACTTACCCACGCTTCCCCGACCCCGTCAGGTTTGTCTTTAGGTCAACCGGAAATCCTGCTGGAAAGTAATCGGATAAGTTGCCTATCCTCGCTGGTGAAGAGACGTTGTTGTTCTTTCTTTTTTCTTCAAAAAGGGTCATGTTTTTACGCAAAATATTCGTTACTTTGGCTGGAGTGTGGGTACTTGTTGCTGCTTCGACCTCCTTCAAGCTAAACTCACTGGGTATGTTTGAACGTTTTTTTTTTCCATCAACGTTTGAAAACTTGAGTGCACACTTTAGAATCTCGTGACTGCGAATTTTGTACATAACACGTACACATCGTATTTTTCACTTTCACAGGGAACTCGCTAAACACGGATAGTTGTGAATGCAGCAATTTCACATGTTCTTGCTGTCAGCCGATCTCTGTTTACCGCTTCACCGATATGAGTAAGGAAAAAAATTGTTTAATATAAAATCATGGCAGATGATAGCCGGATATTAGCAGACCAAGAAACCGGATTACAGCCCCCATGTGATGAGCGATCACGGGATTTCCACACAAATATTGACAAATATCTGGTCGGGTACAGGAATATGCATTATTCATAGAACGATAAGCCTGTTAACAGCCTCGAGAGCTCTCTGTTTTCAGGAGCCGATTAATCGGCTCTTTATTGATAAACACGCGCTGATCGAGAAAGCAAATGTGGGGCGTCAGGAGCCGGAGGGGGAATTCTCGTTTGCACTTCTCCCACCCCTCCCCTCCCCATTCCTACTTCTTTCGAGCGAGCCTCCGAGCGAAGAAGTCGCGAGAAGTCAGGTGAGAGCAGCGCGTGTTTGGAGCCTAATTGATTCACGGGTCACGAAGAAATTTTTAAGATTTCAGATGTAGCAAGACTGAACTGAAAATAACTAACAGGGCACTTTATGGCTGCTAAAAAGTGCTTTCGGAGTAGTCTATAACTATAAGTACAATATGTTGCAAAGAATTTAGTTATTAAGGGTTCGTGCGACGTTTCTTTCAAACAACAAGTACGAAGTCTTTGTTTGTTACTTGTTTTTTAAGTTTTTTTTTTCCAAAGTCCAGGTTAAACCTCCGCTCTCCTCCCTCCCCCTAGCTAGACACACGTTTTTTACCGTGAGTTTCGAAGTAAGTACGGGTCGGCAAATGAATGTGAAAGATGTGATAATCACCATGTCACACGAGACTGGGACAAAGAAGAAATAGTGAGTCCTCCACACGATTCGAACTGATAGACTTGGACTCTGGATTCCATGCCGCAGAATCCAGGGATACTGGATTCCGGATTTTTTTGTCAGTGAAACTTGGATTCTCAATTCCAGTTGTTACTGAGATTCCAGATTCCTTTAGCTGTATTCCGGATTCCAAAGCCAAGGATTCCGGATTTCAAAAGCAAAATTTTCCTGGAATCCGGAATTCCTTACATGGGGAGATTCAAGCAGCGGTCAATGTTGATGGCTGCCTCTATACGCGGAATATTCTAATGTACTATCGTAAGTTATGATGAAATCTTTTCTATAGCTGAATATTTTTCTTTCAGCGTGTGTGAACATATCAAGCGTTGACGCCGTACAAAATGTAAGGAGATGTCTTATAACTAGCTAGGCATAATTATTTCACTGGTAATCCAGAGTATTCCAGCAAGGGCCAACACGATGTTGCAAGCTCAACATGACGGAATTATTCCGCGTCACGGGGCCAATTATGTATGCAGTAAGAACAGTCTTTAGAGAATGTCGAGTGTTTGGGAGATCTGACGTTTCGGTAAATACTCACGGACGTGTTTATGCTGCTATTTCTGTTTTAGGACATTAACTACACACTTTCATTGGGTGGAAAACTGTACATCGACAGTACTTATAAAGGTATGACCAGTCATTACTGTCGAAGTTGTTTGTTTTATGACACTTCAGATTCGCTCAACCTACTTTGATTTCTTTGAATGCACCTACGGGTCACCTCGATACAGAATGGTATCCCTGTGTATCAATTGTATGACATGCATCTATTTCATTCAACAGATCAAGAACCATGGCCGTCCTGTGCAGAATTTGATGAACAAGGCATTGCGTATGTCTGCGTTATATTCTACAACACAACCTTCTCTGCTACCCAGGTCAGCGGTTGTGTGAAGCTGAACGTGTTGGTGGAAACAGAAATCATCATACCACTGAAATGTTTTACACTGCCAAGACCTAAAGCTATTGCCATTGATGACAAAAGCCAAGCGGTCATGGCACGAAAGTGACACAGCAAAAACATCTCATTGCATTTTCAGTAGAATTGAACTGGATTGCCCCACAACCTCGGACAAAGCCTGTTGAGGCACCTCACAAAAATCCTTTTTTTTCCTTGTCATCTTAGCAAAAATGGAAACCGTCGCCAAATGAATGCCCGCGCCCCCCCACCCCTTATCCAATGTTGTTTAGAACCACACGAAAATTGTTGGTTTTTATAACAAAAGTTAGCAAAACAACTATTAATAGAGGGTGGGGAGGGTGCGTTTTTTCTCTGTTTAGAGAAGATGGTAGTACGGCGCAAAAGTTAGCAAATAGATGGAACTGTTTCTGTATCAACAGTTTTGCCGAGGTAAATGTAGCGTTATTCTGGACGAGTATGACGGAATTGACGGAGTGGTTAGTCAAGGCCCATCAAGACAAAATTCAATTCCGGCCAACCGATGTATCGCTTTTACTGATTCTCTTTATCAGATCGACTCTGTCGTTTTTCAGTGTTTTGTCAGTGTTTGTTTTGTTTTGTTTTATTTTGTTTTGGGGGCTCCGGTGGTAAAATTGTTGAGCGGGTAGGGTGAAATGACGTAAGAAATGACCGAGAAAATGCACAATTGTCTTTGAAAACAATTGCGTTCTCTCGTATACTCACAGGTAACCCAGGCTCTGTGATAGTACCACAGTACGGTTCCAGTAAAATTACAGTGTTTGTATGGGGTAAAAATAAGATCCTAAAATTTGTAGGAAATACTAAGTAAAGGTCAATGAAACTTACTCTGCTGTTAGTTGTTGATGTCGTTAATACTCAGTTTACAATAATAATTTGTAGCGCTGTTGTAGTGTTTAACACCTTCAGGTTTTGCTTATTTAATTTCCCCATATTATATAAAATTGCATGTCGGAAAACAAAGTATCTCTGTCAGAAACGCGCCCTGTATTTTACTTCACTTCTGTAATCTTTATGGCCTACAGCGGACACAGCGCTACAAGAGAAGAACTATATGCTGCTCACAGAAGGATGAAGTTGAAATATCTTCAGCTTCCATTGCATAGTATGCATTTCGACCTTGCGCGATCGTTGAGATGGGCCGAGAGTTTGTCCTAATTTCGAAACAAACCTGAACAAAACTATAATATACATATACTCAACTACGAAAATCTCTTACCAGTTTTTAGTACCGTGGCATCTCTTTCTGAGAGGAAATAAAGCCGCCAATTCCAATTCTTCTGACCATCCACTTTCCAACTGCTACTTGTTAAGTTATTCAAGTTCATTAGCTATATAGTTGAATGATTTTGCATCAAAGAATGTTTTCAATAATTGTCTTGGGACTTACAATACTTACAATCGTCTCAGGCCAGGACAAACTAAAAACAATGCTTATTCAAACGTTTGGAGGGAAAACAAAGAGTATTATCAAAAATATAGATGATATTTTTGAAGAAGGGCTATTCGAAAACCTGTTTTTCTGTTAAAGTATTTGCACAATTCCTTCACAGATGGTCATTTATCCCAAGAGGCAAACTGTCCATGAGAATACGAAAAGGAAGAGATCTGAAAACCGTAAAATTCCGAAAATATGCCCCCCCCCTGCCTCTCCTCATTACGTACACAGAGACCCCCGGACCCTGTTGAGCTTCAGATGAGCCGAGCCTAATACTAAAGATCTTTAATCTTTGCCTTTACTTTTAATCGTTACAACTCTCTCCTCCTTAGAGGTATTAGCCTGCGAGCAAAAATTCCCGACCCCCGCACCCTAGGGAGAACTGCTTCCAGGCAGCAGAGGTATGTTTCTGTCAAAACGAGGCCAGATAGGGTGAAAAAGAAAGCGCGTGGGGCTTACTATTTTAAATTTTTTTTTTCCGATTTTATGTGAATACCCAGCGCGAACCTCTGCGTATAAGAGGAGCGAAAAGACAAAATGTATAGTTTCAAGAAGCCCATAACGCGGAGCGAATAACTTCCATTCTCGTGTCACGGCGTTTTCACGGCCCAGTTTATTTTTAGAACGGTTTTGGCGCGAATTTTCAATATCTTTTAAGTTCTACAAACCAGTCAGCAAAAACCTACAGACCTAAAAATGATATTTTTTGCCTTCTAATAACGTATAGTTTTCGTTGTTGATATCTTATACTTCGAATGCGCTCACAGATTTGGTGGAGATTTTCGCGGAAAAAGTGCGCTAAATGTGTCTAAAATAAACTAGCCCGTAAAAACCCCGTGACATAGGCCTAGTATGGGAGTTGCTCGTTCCGGGTCATGGGCTCCTGATTGTTCTCAATTATTAGCAAGAGGGTCGGTACATGTGTCGTTCGACGTTCCAGCCTCGCTTTCGAAATGCAAAAACGTAGTAAATCCCTAGGGGGGCCTATGCTTGCGAGTTCCCTCATATTAAAAACTAAACCCTACGATCGAACTCAGTTTACGAGGCAATCCCACATGTTGATTTCTAACACAAATTCTCTCCAGCCTCAAGCTCAGCCGGTTTTATGAAATGCAAATTTTCCTCAAATGATAAGCCACTTCCTGGGTTTCAGCCAGACATTAATATTGAAAAGAGGACACATTTTTCAAGAGATTAGGCAATTCTCATTGAATTTCTCCTGAAAGTGGGTTTTCACAGGACGCCTTGACACTTTGGGGGAAATCTATGTTTGCTACCCAGGAAGGAGGGGTAGGGGGATTCTCCCATACATGAGCTATACGGCTATGTGTCAAACTAGGCTCCCTTCGTCGTTTTATCGTTGGGCCAAACAAAAGAAGAGCATTCCCATTTTAACAATTGTTGTCTGGAACAGGGTCGCAAATTCAGTTTGTTTGGGAAAAGTTTAGAGTGTGAAAGACTCAGTGCCCTACACCCACAGAGTACCACCAGGTGTGCCACAACACGGAGACACGCAGGCTATTAGAGACAGGAAAGTATATACATTTATTATATAAAAACCAATGAAATACCAGGTGACCTTTCGAACAAAAACTTGATATCTTCACATGTGAAAATAACATGTTATCTTCACATGTGAAAATATCGCCCTTTGCTATGGCTACACAACAAATCGTGCCTTTCACACCAACAAACTATTAAGGTGAAATGGTTTGGTATTTCATTGGTGTTTATTATAATAAATAGAACATTACATGGCCGCTTGGAGATTCGAAATTTCTCTTCCCGTGTTGAAAAAATATTTCACGCATTCACTGCACTCACTTGCGAAATATTTTTCAACACTGGAAGAGAAATTTCGCATCTCTGCGCAGCCATGTAATATCCTCTACATATCCAGGGGGAGACCACTCTCATGTTACCCCCAAGTCTCCCAGACCAAGGATGCCTTTGAAACAGGAACAAAATTGTTAACATCCTGTTCCTCGCTCTGCTCTAAACACATGTAATGCCTGCTTCTTTTTATACCAAGTCTTTATTGTTCAAGTCCTTTACAATAATGTTCGACGTCAAAAATACTGACAAACAAAGATATTAACTAGATACTTTATAAAACTGGATGTCTTTAAATAGTCCCATATAGAAAGCGTAAGATCTTGAAAAAGCCATAGACATCTCATCTAATTTCTCCGTGACTTTTGAGTTCACTCTGAAGTAGGTTTCACATAAATACCCTCCTGAAATAGAAGAAAGGATGCACATTCAACAAAATTCAGTTTGCCAAATGTAAGCTTTTGTTTGCAGTTACATAGTAGAAGACCCTGTGCTAGTTATGTGATTGTGTCTTTTAAGACATAAATTTGGTGGTAGTCCAATGTCTTGTTGTGTTATCTCTGAAAAAGTGTTCAAAGCATGTGTACTTGTAAACATAATGATATTATCATACAACTATCCCCTGAAGGGGAGGTGAATAGTGGTGGATAAATACCGAGATGTGAGGTGTCGAGGTACATATCTAGCACTGTTCACCGACCCTGAGAAGGTAGTTGTTTTAGTATCTACCAAATCAGTTGGATAAAAATGAAAAATATCACTACTTGCAAATTAAAAATGTCACTTAGTAGGAACTTTATTTACGTAAGTACAAACATTTTCGGGACTTTGTCAAGTGCATTTTCACGATTTTATTGCAAATTCAGCATGAAAATAATTTTCTACCTACCATTTAACACCGACAAACCAAAGTAAGTCACTTTCTTGGTATTTGTTTGTACAACTACTTCACTTATCGCTCAAATTTCATGTTCCAAAAATGTCTCGAAGCAAAACGCCATCTTGGCTCTGGTCGCAAAGCAGTGAATTACCAAGGAAATTTCTGAGTTACAGGAGCCAATCATAACATGTGAAAAGTGCTATTCACTGATTTGGTAAATACGAATAATGCTTATCGGTGCTGTTTTTCCTAAAAGAGTATGGGGACCCCTGTCTTCATTTCAAAATTTAAGTTCCTGTAACCAGTGACAAAAATCTAACTGCCATTTCTATTTCAGAGGAATGCTGTTAACAGCAGAGAAAATAGAAGGTCGTGTGCATGGCCCTTACCATTGCTTTCCACTCATTTCCAGTCTCAGGGTAACTATATCCACTAACTTCCCGTTGACCGTGAATGGGACGGCCAAACTGATCCCCTGTTATATGAAGATAGCTACATGACAAAGGGAGAGAAAATGTTGGTGATTAGCCTTTTAAAAATGCCAGTGTTTTGAATTTATGCAATTTTGTGACATTTTGATTGAATGTTTAAATAGCAAAAGTGACAGATTCATGTTTGAATTTTCCCACATTGTGATTTTCAATGTTTAATATTCATTACCAGAGTAAGAAAAAAATTTTCTTGTCCACCTGTCCCTTGGACAAACACTATATTAAATTTGGTTGTCCAAAATCCAAGAGTTCTTGTCCAACGTTTTGTCAGGTTCCTCAGCAAAGTGGAGCTTACAGAAACAACTGAAATGGCCTTAGTACGGCAAAGTTAAAAGGAATATTTACCTGCAGTTATTTTGTCAAGTATGAGGATTGCTTTTATTTTAATTTTCTAATTAAAAATGTGCTTGTGCCACGGACAAGTCATGTCAAAGCTAAATTTCTACCTGTCCCGTACAATCGGACAGAGGTTTTGGCACACCCAGCTGATTACTAGTAAAAATCAATCGACACATAAAGCGATTACGAATGGATAGAAATAGAAGAGACATTAATCTGGCTAAACTCAATTAGAGTAAGCTCAAAAAGGGGGATACAGCTACTTCAGGGTGCAAAGAAAATCACTTTTACAGCTTGCCATTTGGGCAAGCTGAAGCTAACATTTACTAGCCCAGACGTCATTTCAACTAGCCCCAAAAGCTTTTTGAAGAGCAGAATTGATCTTAGAGTTCTTCTTTTACTCGAATTCCTCAAGAAAAATCACTTGCCCGTCAGGCAAGTTAAAAACAGAATTCACTAACCCGATAGCAAAATCCACTAGCCCCGGGCTATCGGACACCACTTTCTTTGCACACTGTACTTACACTTTTGTTGCTGAATGTTTAAATCTGACTTTATCCTGTCTTTCCCAAAACTTTGTCCCACAGACCACAGACCAGTGGTCACCTTCGTCACCCTGTCCATTCTCACCAAATGCACTCACTTCCTGGTTGTGCGAGATCGGCGACTGAAAGTAATGACTATGAAGATTGCGCTTGGTTGCCAAGTGCTGTAATCTCAATGTGCTGCCACATTTTACAGGGTTCCTGCAATTACACATACCATAACTTATATTATATTCATTCATAATACTTCCCTGTTTCTGATGGCTAAAATCCTTTACATAATAGTCACCAGCTACTGTCAACCCAATTTGGAAGAATTTTGCGATATGTGAAAAATGATGTCAATTGTGAAGCATAATTGCCAGAAAACGGAACAGTCAACCGAGAAGACCTGGGGATGAGGTCAGTTGTTTTGGTAGTGAGTACAACATGGCAGAACATTTCAGTACTTTCATGAGAAAGAAATAGCGGAAATATTACCTAAAAACAGAGCCAGAACAACAAGAAGACAACTCGACAGGGCCATCTGCTTTTTGGAGAATATTAATTTGCAGTACTGAACAACCCTTTATCTATTAAACTTGCCAATAAATGGGCAGTTGAAGATGAACTTAAAATCGATGGAGGTAAGCATGTTTTAGTTTGTTTTTAAACTAGGAATTATTTTGAATTAATGATAAAAAAATAATAAATTATTGAATTAAGCTTTTGTATTATCTGAAGAATTATGGAGATCTCGGAAGGTGTCATCCGCTGAGGCTGATTAACACCCTCCTCGATCTCCATAATTCTTCAAAAAAATAAGACTTGGTATGAACCCTGCACTTACCTTCTGTCCCAAGATTCACAATCTACATTAAACATTTCAAAGGCTCTGCTTTCAACCATATCATATATTTCGATCAATATTGTTAGATTTGCTTGGACTGTACCATCAAATGCAATTTGAGATCATTAGTGCAACAAATATTGAGACCATCGCACAACAACAGAGGTCCTGACACAATAGCAGTCTTCAAGGCAGATATTAGAGGTCTTTTAAATTGTCCGTCTCCAAATCAAAGCCATAGTTTATTTTTTATACCACTCAATTTTAAAGGGAATACAATCATCCATGGTGTAAAAGACTTACCCTCTTTTACAAGGGGCATCAGTCTTGCCTCTGACCACCCAGTAGCTGTTGCCATCATCTGCATTATCAACACCTGTAACAGACTAAAGATACCCATACAGCACCATAAATCATTTCATCATCTCATATTGTACATGCAGAAAAATGTTCACTCTATTTATCCATGTCAATGTATTTAGTAGTAAATTGTAAGTGCCTTTTTTAGGGTAGGCATGCATGTCCGTAGTCCGAATTTCAAAACCTGTCGTTTCATGTATTGAGAAGGAAACCATGTCTCTATTGACATTTTCCCATTGTTTTTGTGTTTGTCTTTGTTGCTGCCACAGTTTCAACTCATCTTTTTAATTTGTGCTGCTGTTGCCAATTCATTTGTCTTACATCACCCTTTAACGGCCATGTCGCTTGTCGGAATTTTAACCTAACAGGGCCTCCCTAGTTAACTAATCGTGTTCATCATAGCGCATCCTAATATTGTTGTTCCTGTGGTGCAAAGCCACAAATTTTTGAGGTATCGCGGACGACTGCTGATAAGCCGCTGCTAATGATTTTAACTGGGGCATCTCGGCTAGGAAACTGGACTCCTTTCAACTCGAATTTCATTTCCGTAAGTGACGAGCGCGGATCCATAATCAATGATGATGTCTAGTCATACAGTGTATGTCCATAAATGCAGTGGGAGGGGAGGGGGAAGGGGGGGTTTAACATCAGATCTGAAAAATAACAGCCATTCATCAGACAACAGTGCTAAGCCTAAGGTCAGATGTATGTGTTTTCTAAGGAGAAACATTATTTGCAGCTACGAATCTTGTCCAAAATCCAACATACAAGTAAATTAAATCTCAATCTTCCATTCAAACTCTCCAGGGAGAGAAATAAACAAAAACAACTCCAAGATACTGAATAATACAAAAAATTATGTAAATACACAAACTGTTACCAGGCAACGCGAGGATCTCAAATAAATTGTTTATTTATTTCTGGACCCTTTTTAACACCACATTTTAAATTTATTTCATTTCGAAGTTTATGCAGGTTTATGCCGCGTCTTTAATAAAACTTCCTGTAATTACATCACAAAATCACGCAACCATGAAACACCCGGGAACAAATGAGAACTTTGCACGTTCGACGTCGTTTTAGTACTTGAGTCATCTTAATTCAATATTCTGAATTCATACTAGATGAATTTGCTGTTAATTATCTTTTTCTGAACAGCAACTTTTATCTTATAGCTATGAGAAAACGACAAAGCGAAAGAGAATTAATGATAACGAACATACAAGCTTCAGTCCAAGGGGAAGTTACGCAAGCATTAAGCTCTCCATTTAACACAACAATGACTATGTATAGAGACAAAGTTTTGTCTCTAATTTGAACATTTTAGAAAAAGACGTAAATCGTGCCTCAGCAAACCTTGGTAAATTTTACGAAACAGATGTAGTTTCAAACTTGGCTGAACATAGGGAACTTTAAAACGGGACAGCTTCAATTATTACCTTGATAAAAACGAATTCCTACTATTGTCGTAAGTTTACAAATCAAAAGCGTTTGGCTTGTAATCTTAAAAAAATCCAACTATGAAAAAAACTAAATAAACCGATATAGACAGTTGATCACACGCTGGGTAGCTAGGCATCAGTTCACAAGAAGTGTAAATCTCATTTGAAATTCAGTCGAATTTTATATGCAAACTTACTTACCTGTTGTCCGCTCCCAGAACCATATTTTACTTCGTGAGAATGCAACCGGACATTGTGTTTAGGATTAAGTAGCTTTAAAACGCTCCCACATGTGACATATTTAAAATCTGAATAGAAAAACAACAAAATTTGTTCATTCATTAACCGCCATTGAAATGATCTGAGATTCGACGCGCTGCAAATTTTTAGCGGCGCGTCAAATGTTTAGCTGTAATGCTCACCTTTCGTAGATTCAGCTATCGTGCGACTCGATAAAAGAGAAATTATGGTGATAAATAAATAAGCGTATTTAACAATGGTTCTTGTAATTTGTAAAAGATGCAAAGTTCTATCTGGAGTCACGGCCATCTTGAAATTGAAAAGAACGTGCAAGCTTCGGACTGGCTTTTCTTGGCGTCGCCTCGTTTTCATGTAGACCCGTCAAACCAGTTTGGGATCCAGAGAGAGGGACTTGGGAAAACAAATCATCTTCAAAGTGGTTTTGCGGGAAATTGAAGTAGAAACATCTTGTGAATATTGTAGAGCCTTTGATCAGAGACACAGTTAAAATCAACCAAGACAAGGGCGGTCAGACTGTCGATAAAAAAGTAAACGGAAGTTATAGTGGTGCCAATCGCGCGTTCAGGCAAAAGAGCCCAAGAATAGGCCATTTGCACTAAGAGGTCATGTGACAGCGTTTTTATGAAAATGAAAGTTTTATGATTTTTTCCCTCAAAAAACGATTAGTGGTTCATATTTTTAACAAATAAAATGAGTAAGTTCGTAGCTGGTCACGTGACCAAAATGTGATTTTTAAAATAATGAATTACCTCAGTCTTTCTGCCGTTGCACTTAAACTTCAAGGAAAATGTTGAAAAGTTGACGTGGGAACGTTTACAGCACATCTGAGCGTAACTATCAAACATTTAACAAGATCCAAGCAAAAAGTGGTTTTCGCCGCCCTGTTGGAGGGCAAGAGTATGCCCTCCAACTGGCGGCCAATGCAAATCATACTATTTTGTTGAAAAATCAAAGTGCCATAAAGTTTCTCCCTTAAATGCGTTCCCTCTCAAATTTCGGGTATAAGATAATTTTTATGTGCTCTGTCAATTTTTGGCATCAGCAAGATTCCAACTCATTGTTTAAAGGAAGCGTTGGTCACGTGACCTCTTAGCGCAAGTGGCCTTTAGTAATTTCTAAATCCCAGTAAATCTCTAATGTTTTTAGCTTCCCACGTAGCCGTTCTTTTGGCTCGCCACACAGTCTTCTCCAACGTATTTGGGGAAGGAGCACGTGACGAAGGGCCACAAAAGAGGATCATGTCCCATTCGACACTTGCACATCTCCCATAAAGCACCTTATTTCCCCCACCCCCCACCCCACCCCCCAACCGCGCCAAATTTTGTATAACCTTTGTTTTTTATTTTTCCTGGGTATTACAGCCCTCCCAAGAGAAATTTGAAAACAATGCTAATGCAAATTTTTTTTTTTGGGGGGGGGGGGGGGGGGCGGAGGGGAATTAGGTGCATTATGGGAGGTGTGCAAATGGCTAATTATCCTGGGGGATACAAAATAGAATGTCCCATTGCAGAACACTGGCAATGCTGCATAAGAATGTTCCACGCTCCTTGCTGCTAGGACCGGACATTTCGACTACATTGAGAGATTTGAAAAGCCCCAAATGTTATTATACATGACGTAAGCTGTGAACAGGCCTCCTGCCTGAACGAACTTTTTTACTCACTTGGAGAGACCACATGGATTTATCAATTATTAATCATGAAGTTGATAATATTAATGGGGAATACAAATAAATAAATAATACAAGAGGGTTTCCAAGGGCCAACGCCACAGGAAAGACACCTTGAACAAGCAAAAGCAATCTATATATTCAAATGTTCTTAAAGCATAGCCCGAAAGAAAAACCTCAATGATGCTGACAGTTTCGATGACTGACAGCCATCTTTATCAAAAAAAAAAATTATCAACTTCATTAGGATTTTTATCTCAGGTTATTCTTTAAGAACATTTGAATAAATATCTGACCTTACTAGCATAATGAATTTCTTCAAAAGCTTAAAGCAATATTATTATGGCAACAAAAAATAGTCTTTTAATATTCAAGCAAGGCCCATCTGCAAACAAAGTTTATACATCATTTACAGCGAAAGCACAAGCTTGCACAAATTTTATATTAAATAATATATTCATGGAGCTTTCTTTTATTTCCTGTTATATTAAAAACTGAGTAACCAGCATATTCATTTTGTTTTTCAGTAATTAACAAAATGAAATGTTGGATTTTAAGAAGATATGTATTTCCAAGCCTGTTAAATTGTAAATTTGGAAAAGCGGAGAGCAAAGTCTAAATCAATTTGCATCTACCCTGTTAAAACGAGCATTTTTAAGGGTGGTTTTTGCCCGAGTGAATTTTGATTTTACCATGAGGATAAAAGGACTATTCAATGAAAACTTTTAGTGAGACCGTGGCCTACAATGGTAGGTTCATTTTGCATTGTTGCTCCCCTTATTTCGTTGTATCGTTCCAGAAGACGTGAATACACCTTAACTTCCCTACCTCAACCAAAAAGGTTCTGGTTTTAGTTCCTTCTTAACTTGCTAAGCTAACCTTCTTAACTTGCTAACCAATTTAAACTGAGGAAAAAACTACATGGGGATAGCGGCTACCTCATAATTCACTTTTACACAGTCCAACAGGTATGTCATCGATAGGTTCTTCGTTTTGTACATAAAGCCATGTCAAACCACAAAACGAAGACCCTGGCTAACACGCTTTACCTAACCCCCAAAACACCTTATCGCTCGTAACACTTTGTAGGGCGTTGAGAGAGACGTTAATAATAGGATTCTCGTTTTGTACACTGAAAAAGCCCGGTCAAACAACAAAACAAAGACATTTGCTAAAACGTTTTGCAAGGCGCCGAAATACATGATATACATATGGGGCCTTCGCTTTGTAGAAAGGGCCGGGTTAATCCTACGAAACGAAAACCATTTCTATAACCTGTATTTAAACACTCGAGAACTTGTTTATAGCGGGATAACGTGTATTAGGGGGCAGAAAAAGAATTCCCTGGGCTGGGAGGGTTATATATCTGTAAGAAGATATCTTAATCTGAGGTAACCTCATGATACTCCTTCAGGAGTCGTAATGGCTACCCGTAAAAACAGTTTATATGTCTTCGTTATGCAGCTTCAAACAGTTTCTTGTACAAAACGAAAATGCTATCGATATAGCGTGAAATTCCAGTCATCCACCACCCCCCCCCCCCCCAAAAAAAAAAAAAAAAAAAAATTGTAGCGAGCGAGCACCACATTGTTTTTCCGCGCCTGGCAAAGCGTTTTAGCAAGGGTCTTTAATTTGTAGGTTTGACACGGCTTCTTCTAAAAAGCAAAGACCTTAAATCGATGACGTGCATCATGATCTTCAACGCCCAGTCAAAGCGTTTTAGCGGGCGATAACGTGTATTTTCAGGCCAGTCAAAGCGTTTTAGCTACGGTCTTCTCAATAACATGTCTATTTGCATGTGAAGAAGTTTTACATCAGTTAACATTGGTCTTTGGTTTTGGGTCTCCCGTCTTCGGCCTTCGGTCTTTAGGTCTTCAGTCTTCAGTTTAAAGACAATTGCAAATTAAGACTGTTTATGACAAAATTTACTCTTTTCCATTGCCATTATTATTATTTTTTTTACATTTTTTTCTATACCCTATCCATTTTACATACCAACTTCCTCTGGTACTCATATCAAATCTCAAGAAAAAAATATTTTAGCGTTAAATAATGACAAGCAAAAACTGGCAAATAATATATCATTACTACCCTGAATTAAGGTAATGCAAAAACGAAATACAAAACAAAACAAACAAATAACCAGCTCATTCATTTGTTTTTCAACATTTCGGAAAATGAAATGTTAGATTTTTTGAAAATAATTTGATTCTGCGCAATTTTCAGAGTTCAAAGTTAATCGTGAGTTTATGATGCCACGAAGGCGACGGCAACGAGAACACCAAACTGAAGCAAAAGGTTTAGATTAGCAAAACAACAATTCTGCACTTGGAGCACACTTTTTGGTGCATTTCTTTGCCGTCACTGCATGGCTACGATGTGAAAGTATTGCCTTATTTCACGTTTTATCCAGATCGTTAACCGGCAAGCGACGACCATGTTTTTCTCTTTGAACTCGGATATTTTACTAAAGAGTTCAACTCCAGGAGACTTGAGTTCGCCTACATTTTGAACGGGTAAACGAGTTGGGATAATCGCGCTGAAGTTCAAAGAACGCGAAATCACTTTTTAATTAGGGACCTTACGAAACTACGACGGAGACGGCAAGGAGAACGAAAAAGCGATACGTTTCATGAGCAAAACAACAACTCTGCACGTGCATCACGCTTTTTTGTACATTTCTTTGCTGTCGCTGTATTACTAAGACGTGAAATGACCAAATTTTAAATTTACTTGAGAACGGGAACGGCAAGGCGATAAATTCTAGCATCTCTGTCTAAACTCGGGCGCGGTCCCCTCCCTTCAGCTCCAACCAAAATTCTCTTCTTTTAAGTAAGAGGGCGAACTGGGATAATCGCGAAAAAGTCTATAAGGATGCGAAGTCTATTTTTCAGCGACGTTTTCATGGACGTCGCCGTTGTCGCATCGCAAGGTCCCTGTTAACCAGAAAAGACGACCTTTTTTTTTCTCCTTGAACTCGGATGTTTTTCTTAGAAATTCAACTCCACGAGAGTTCCCCTACATTTTGGCAGGGTAAGCGAGTTGGGATAATCGCACTGAAGTTCAAAAAATACGAAGTCACTTTTTAAATGATGGTTTTCACCGACGTCGCCATCTTGATGGTATCTCAAACTCCCTTTTTATCTAACAATAACTTCACTGGTGTGGCCGATGTCATCTTCTTCGCTCTCCTTTCTGTGTTCTTTTCTTCTCCTTCTCTTTTCTTTCCTCAGCCTTTTGTTTTTGTTTTTCCTTCGCGTCTTTGATCTGCTGTTTCTTCTGCTCATTTTCCTCCTTCATTTTGTCTCTCTTCTCCTTTTCCTTGTCCGCTACTGATTGAACATTCACATTTTTGAACAGCGCTGTAAAAAAGACGAATTTCAGAGCAACATTGTACACTAGCCTGCGAACAGCAGACGCATTTCCGGTCGTCGCTTCTCTACCGGAAATGCGTCTGCTGTTCGAAGGCTAACTGTACACTAGATTCCGATCAATTTAGGTTTCTCAGTGGGAAACTGACCACCTACCCCTCCCCTAAGCTGACATTAACACTTAATTCTCACTTTGGGCAAAATGATGGCTTAAGGGAGGGGTAGGTGGAGAGTTTCCCAGAAACCTAAATTTCGTCCCTAGATTTTTTCCTTTCATTCATGACAGCGGCCAGAGTGAAAGTTCTCAATTTCTTTTTGTAGAATCCTAAGAAATCAATAGTACAGTCAAACCTCGCTTTACAGACACCCGCTTAATACGGACAGTTTGCTTTGCCCCTGGGAAAGAAAGCCCTTACATTTTCTATACATTCAACCCACTTAATACGGACAACCCGCTAATACGACACCCCCACCCCTCCCCCGCTCTTCAGAGTCCATATTAACGAAGTTTCACTGTACTATGCAAAATTTCTACTAAAGAGCTTTCATTTGAACGGTAACACAAATCCACAAATTCAAAAGTTAGAACGACGAATGGCCTCCCCTTGGTCTGGGATAAAAAAAGGGTTTATTCCCACAGGGACCTTTTTTTCAAGTACTTTTTGAGGGGTGTGGAGGTACTAATAATTAAAGAAGATGAAGGATTTTCAATTTTTTGTAACATGGTGTCAGAAACATAGAAATATAAGAAAGATGTTGCCAGGAAAGATATTAAGAAAGATGTTGACTAGAATTATGATATCAAAACTCTGGCGGTTTTTTAACAGTCACACCCCATTAATATGGACACTGAGGGGGTCATAGAAAGAGTCTGTATTAAAAAAGAGCCCGTATTAAGTGAATTGAATTTAGCGAAAACGTAAGGGCTTCCTTTCCCCAGGGACAAAGCAAACTGTCCATAACAATAACATTATCAAGCCGGTGTCCTTAAAGGTGATGTTACACGGTACGATTCGCAACGACGATTTTTAGCGCAACACAGCGTTGCAATGTTGGAACAATGTTGCAGCTGTTTGAAACAACGTCGTAACAATGTTGTAATGATCTGTTGCGCTAAAAATCGTTGTTGCAAATCATCTTGAGTAACATCACCTTAAAGCAGGGTTTGATTTTGTAATGATTAATGTTAAAAAATGACCATCTTACTGTTAACCCTTTAAGCCCCAATATCAACATACAAATTCTCCAAACTAATCTCTATACATTTCCTTGAAAATTGAGTTGAGAGAATTTAGTAAAAGATCAAAGCATTTTCTCTTAGAAGATCATTTTGTTAATTCTCATCGCCTAATCTCTTGACAATGTATGGATATTGTTGGGAGAAAATTGTTGTTGGTCACTATTGGGACTTGAAACAGTTAATCAAGGCAAATGCATGTTGATTAGGTCTTTGGGCCGCAACGTCTAAATTATGAAAATAGCAAATAAATAAACAAAAAATAGTAATGATCAATCTAACAAACCTGGATCCTTGCTGGCGGAGGGAGCTGCTTCTTCGTCGCTATCACCAGTAAAACAGAATTAAAGAAAAATATCAACACCAGTGTTTGTTATCATTAATTGCCTGTATTTTATCATTTTTCTTGTTGCAGAATAAAATGTAATAACCATTAGCTGATTAATTGTTAAAAGTACACTGTAGTGCATATGTTGCTGGTTTCAATTCTATCCTTATTTTTATTATCAATCTTTTAAAATTAATTTATGGACATGGTAAATTATGATAACGAGTTTGATAAACTCAGTAATAGTAGTACTGTTGTAGTAAAAAAAGGATATCAGAGCTCCTCATCGGAAGCATGTCCATACTGAGCGACCAGTAGTTTTTTCATATCACCATCAGAGGTAGCTTGAGCAGGTTTCATGGCTGATACTGTGCAAGCTTGCTTTTCCATGATCTCAGCCAGTTTACTTTGTTTCTCTGCTGCTTTTTGTTCTGAAATTAATAATTACATCATCAGTATGCGATTTGGGGGGCCAAACCACTGACGTTGCTTCGGCAAAACAACTCTAGTGGCAAGGCATGAGGGGAGACAGTTGTATTTGCCGGCAAATTCTGATCAGGACAAAACTCTCTGATTTCTATACCCTTCACCAGCCCACACTACAACCCACAGTATTCTCTCTGGGCTGTTAATCTCACTTCGTATCTCAAATACTATAGTCTTGCCATTGTTCAATTACTGTTCACCTCTCTGGGACAGTTGTGGGGTTGGGGGCAAAGCCTATCTAGATATTAAGGTTAAATAGATGCACAGCATGTATTATTGAAGGTCGATCTATCGGGGCTGAGGAGTTAAAATCAACACTTGGCTGGACCAGCCTACAAGCATGCAGAAATTACGTCAAATGCATCTTACAGTAGTCCATAAGTGTCTTCACGGAATAGCGCCTTTGTACTTACTTACAGAGTTTAGGCACATGCACCTTTTCCATGGCTATAACACCAGAAGCCATGATTTGCTGCGCCCTCCCTTCACAAAAACTACTGAATACCAAGGTAGCTTCAGAATAAACGGTGCTTGGACCAACAACGCCCTACCAAGAATCATTAGACAACTAGAGGCCCTCAGTGAATTATATACAATCAAGCTTAAGTGCTATTTTAAACTTACAGTAGTGCCTGCGGTACATGTTACCTATGTAACTTAATTGTCTAGTTTTAATGTTTTAATGTCTTTGTTTTTATGTTGTGTCAGGGCTCCATTTAAACTAGCTCTGCTAAATTGGATGCCCCTGGAATATTGATCAAAAAAAATTACTATCGTTACATACAACGCACTACCTTTAACTTGCTCTCTTTGTTGAAGCACCTCTGCTCTTGAATTTTTCCATCTGTCAATGACTTCATTGCATAGGTCATCTAAAGGATATTCCTGAAGCAAGAAAAGAAAAAAAATGACCAGTGGACACAGTATTTTTTTTAACTTGGTACAATACAGGCAAACAAATAAAAATGTTAACTCATAACATCACCTCGTCTTAAGTCATTTGAATATGTCCAGACCTTGGTCTCACAAAATTCTGATCTGATCTTGAAATCTCAGAAGCATAATTTGTAATGAGTCTTGAGGCTTTGAAATTTTTGCCAAAAAGACTTGGATTTTTAAACGGTCAAGAGTCTAATTGGCATCTTAGCAAGTCTTAAATTGTTTCATTTTATGATTCTGAAGTTAAGATGACCAGTGCAGAGGTCATCAGTAAAATGCGTCAGGGCAACTCAACTATTTGTTGACCTGATTGCCATGTGGGAAAGCGGGGGAAAGGGGGGGAAAGGGGGGGGGGTCCCTTACTTGGCCTCAACAGGTATGCAACTTTGCACTTTCACAGTTCATTGCTGACCAAAAAGGCTGTGATGATCCATCAACATCTAGCGATCTGTCTCACTACCATATGCAGTGATATTTTCCTATTGTGACCCCACAACCTTATAGTCGGGTTGTCACCACCTGAATAGATTGTCACGAACTGTCACTATCATAGGCTTCTGTCACCATCTTGTGACACCGACACAGTATATCTTAGGCAGTCATAATCAGGGGGTGATTTTCAGATGGCAAAAAAATTTAATTGTTTTTACTTTGGTTACACAGATCTGTCACTTACCACACAAACAAGGTTTAGTAATCTGACAATACTGAATGCCCACAAACAGAGAACAGACAAACTTTGTCTTAATTGTAGCTGTTGCCAATGAGTTTGTAGCTCTTAATGACAATTGGAAAGGCAACTTTGGCACCTGCAGAGAATTTGACTTAAAAATGTCCAGGTGACACTCAACTGTTGCCTGTGTTGGGTTCAGCTTCAAAGTCTATTCATTTAAATTTTGGTCTAACATGGGGGCCACGTTGTAACTTGCTGTTTTAAGAGCTGATGTAATAGTTACAAATTTATATTACTATTGGCAGTTTTAGATGCATTTATAGCCATTTCAGAAGACTTAAATTTGAAATTTTCCTGGAGGAGCATGCCCCCGGATCCCACTAGTTTGCTCATGCTTACAAGCGCGCATTAGCCCCCCTGCTTGAAAATCTGCTCCGCAGTTTTGTCTTGAACAGTTATTACTTATTACATATTATGTTATTATTATTATTACAGCCGCCCCTCCCCTCAAAAAAATCGGAAAGGATCCTTTCCGATTTTTTTGAGGGGAGAGGCGGCTGTACACAGGCTAGTTGTTATCCAATATTGATTATAACGGATGATATTTATTTATTGTTCATGAAATTTAGGGGTTGCGAATGTTCAAATCCACACTGTATTTCTTCAAGAATTAAAATTCTCGATAGCTCAACTTTTTGCAAGCATTTAAGCTTAAGTAATTTCTAGTTTTAAATCAGTTCTACCACTGTCACGTGTGAAAACATGCATTACCGTCATTCCTTCCAAAATACCAATCAGTGCATCTTTGCGTTCTTCATCCGTATCTTCAGAATCCAAAACTCCTGTCACATAGCTTCCAAACACATCTTCATCCAGTCCTAGCTGTTTCAAGCGAGAGCTAAGCCAGTCTTCGAACTCTTCAGGACAACCATTCGCGATTGGCGCCGCAGCCGCCATCTTGGAATATTGACGGTATCGATACCGCTGGCAAGTTGATACCGCTGTGTCAAAAACTAAACAACCGGAATACGGTGGGGGTAGAGGGTGGGGAAAACTTACGGATCAGCACTGAGTCAGGGTCCAGCTAGGAGAGCTGTTCGGTTAAGGTGGCTGAACACAGTTTTGGTAGTTTGTGAGTATATGTCATTTGCCAAATCATGACAAGAGAAAGGTTTCAGCTCACAAGCTGAAACTTGGCAAGTGAAAAATATACTGATGAAAGATTTTGATTGACAGGTAAAATTTGACATTTTCAAAGTTTCCATGGCAACAAGAACAATTGAAAAGAACTTTAAAATACGCTCGTGTCAAGGCATTTTCACGGACCAGTTTATTTTTAGAACGGTTTTGGCGTGAATACTGAATATCTTTTAAATTCCACAAACAAGTCAGCAAAACTTACCGACCTAAAAATAATATTTTTTTTTGCGTTTAGTTTTCCTTTTTGATATCTCCTACCTCGAATGGTGGAGATTCTTTTTTTTTGCGGGAAAATGTGCCCTAAAATGTGTCTAAAAATAAACTGGTTCATAAAAACGCCTTGGCATAGGCTTAGTATGACTCGCTCCGGGTCTGCATGGATCCCTGGTATAATACACCCCTGCAAACAGCTCACAGTCATACATGATGGTCAACAAGTGACACATAAGACTTAAGATTTTCTTGGGTGCTAGGATATCTGTCAGTGGGCTCAACTGCTGCTGTCTGTCTCCTGGGTCAGTTTTTTGATCCTTCATGGGCTCACCTTCCTGAAAACTGGCTAGTAATCGGGCCTGGGTTATCTGCAAAATTATAATGGTTTCCAGTCTATGAATTTTTACATACTCCATATTGTAATATTTTTTTGGTTATTCAACCCACAGGAAAATCTCACTGTTAAGAGTAAAAATCTAGAAAATTAGCAAAACCTCTATCTATTATAATTTATGCCCCTTCAATCTCCCATATTTCCAGCTTTGTATCCCTTATTTTGGCATGAGATAGGTCACATTATATTGGAGCTGCAAAGGGCCAATCCTCAGGGGAAAGAAATCTGTGTAGCAGGCCATCTTCCCTGCCATGGGATATAATTTTTCCTGCAGATATTTCCAGATTTTCCCTTGCCTAAAAAAATAGCACTTCCAAAGTCCAGTTTTAATGCCATCTTTACATACTTTTTACTGGCACAATATTCCAAGGTAAACTCCAGTATTTTTCTTTTTGCCAAAAACAAACATTACTTAAAAAATTTATTTTGGTGGAGGACAGTATGTCAATGTGAAAGACCATTTTAGGAAATAATATTTATTATATTAACAAAGAAATATTTACAACATCTATGATACACCACACTTTACTGTCAAACTCCGAAAACCGTGAACACCTGAAAAATTTCAGGAATGTTGATTGTGTACTGGCCAACAAAGTTCAGGACACGCAAGCAAAGTAAAAAACCACAAAATAATTACCGTTGCTGTTTGCAGTTTAGTTTTCTTGCTCCTCATAAATATTTCTGGTGTTCACAGTTTTGTGAGTTTCACAGTAAGTAAAAGAGTTTTTCTTTATAGACATATCTACATACAGGGTCCCACATAATGTAATGTGATTGGGGTTATCTCTTTTCCTATGATCAGCCATGATAACGATTTTATTTGTGATATGATTTTATAACATGATTTTTGGGGGTGAATATCAAACAACATTCTTACTTTAGTTAATATAATCGGTAATTTGTCATTATCAATAATATTGGGATACATGAAAAGGGTTGACATCTGAACATGAATTGTGAATTTTGGGTATGCAGCAGCAATTCAGTTTGTTGTTGTTTTGTTTTATGAATGAAAAGGTTTTAACAGTAGTCAAAACACTAACAGAAAATTGCTGTTTGTGGGTGATCTTTCCTCCTTCTCTTCCAAGCATAAAGAAAAACTAAAGTACTAGCAACTACAAGTAACAGTTTATGCTACAGCTGTCGCCAATCTGTATGTTGTCCATCTGTATCATTGTATCCTTGGTCTAAAAACTTCTGTCATCTTTCTGAAACTGTTTATCTGCTTGGCAGTTCAATATTGCTTGGGCTGCAAAGTGCATATGAGCTCCAGTACACCATTCCTGCAACAGGCCATCATGTTTCTCTGGTTTATCTTCCCATCTACTACTGTCTCCTATTTTACAGGAAGAGAACTTTGATTCCTTTCTTTTAATCTTTTAATTTTTCACCATGTAGCTAGGTTCCGTTCCGGGTTTAGTTTCCTTTCCAAAACAGACACTCCAGTCTCTTTCCTCAAAACTGATGGTTTTATCTTTCCACCGGACAGTTCAATACTGTATTTAACAATTTTTCTGTTCCAAACACGGACGTGATACAAACGCTACAAGGGTAAAAAACAAAGCCGTCTTAACCATTTGAATTTGCAAGCACCCAAACCCATGCTGACGCATCGCAACCAAGGCCGAGAAGAAAAATCCACAAGGGTATAAAGACCACATAATAAGAAGCGGTGACGATATTTTCAAGCCTGCAGCAGAGTACAATAATGAAGCTAAGCTTAGAAGCGACCATAAACAAAAACCAGAGTTTTCTTGGAATGCTGAAAAGATTGGGGTCGACGCCATCTTTGATATGACGGCAGATTCGAAGCAGAATGTAGAAGATCACAAAGCAGTCAAAAATCAGTAACGGGATAAAAATGATGAACCAAAACCATTCCGTTTCTTTATCCAGACGAAGCACCAGAAAGATCAGAAACAAGAGTACCACGCTCCAAACTCCAAGAACTCTGTAGAATGGAGTGTTCGCCATTTTTGACTTGGAGGACACATTAGTTTGACTATCATAACGTATGCTCTTTTAATACCGCTAGTAATTAGGATTCGCCGGCTCGGCGGACTTCGTAGGACGCGCAGGGACGCGCCACGTATAAAAACAGCTGATAACATCTGCTTTTATAATTTTTTAATGCTACATTATCGATCAGATAACACTTCTAAAGATAAATAATTTAGCAGAAGGTCATAATGGCAGATCAACTTGAACGAGTAACCAAAAAGTGACAAGCGCCGTTGTTACAAATTGCGCAACACTCTTCAAAACAACATGGAGAATCTAACAGAACAGATTGAAGAAATCGAAGCTCTATCTGCAATTTATGGCGATGATTTTCTCGTGATCGACGAAGCGAACAGGATCTACGAAATCCGCGTTTCCAACGAGAATGATTCGTGGTGGTCAGCAACCCTACAATTTCTTTTACCCCCTCAGTATCCAGCGAAAGTCCCGCCTGTGTTTGAAATCTATTCTGCTTGGATGAACGAAGCTGACATGTTTGAGGCATCGGACATGTTGCACACTATTTCTCGAGAGCATCAGGGAGAAATCGTGCTGTATCACTGGGTGGAAGCATTAAGAACGTTTATCGACGAGAAGTTCACTGATAGTCAAAACAAAGTTGACGAACAAAGCAATGTTGATCAAATTATTGAGACTGGTGAGCGTTTCTTTTCTTTTTCTTTTTTCCATTCAATTTTATGCACAAAGTATGCAGTGGGAAATAGTTTTCGGAATTTTTGGCTATCATTCATTTTCATGCGTTCAAGTAGCACGTTAGAGGTAGTGGACTTTGCTCGGTGAATATTAGTATAGCCTACTTGTAACCACACCCTCCCTTTCTCCGTGTTTACTTTGTCAGGGGGAGGGTGCGGCTACACGTATGCTAAGGAACGTTTCCTTTAAACAATCCTTTAAAGCCCCAGTCTCTACATACAGATCCTCCAGACTGATCTCCAGACTGAAATTTAACAGAGTATGATTTTTCGCTTCTCGTAGATAAAGACGAAAACATACCGACAGGAGAGGAGGTGACAGATGCCCAAGAAGATGAAACTTTATTTGAAGAATCAAAGAAATCTGATTACTCAAAATCTGAAGTTGATACACTAAAATTGATTAAAAGTGCAAAATTGGATGAAAAGCCACAAATAATCCATGGAGAACCATTTACAGACAGAAAGAGTACTTTCCAAGCTCATCTAGCCCATGTTGTTACACAAGACCAAGTGCGACAAGTTCTTGAAGAACTGAAGGAAAACCGAAAAATAAACAATGCCACCCATAATGTAATGGCATATAGAATTTTCATTGATGATAGGAATTCTTATCTTCATGACTGTGACGATGATGGGGAAGCCATGGCTGGTTCAAGGCTCTTACATCTGTTGCAAATCCTCAACGTGAAAAACATTGTTGTCATAGTAACCCGGTGGTACGGCGGAATTCTTCTGGGTCCTGACAGATTCAAGCATTATAATAATTGTGCAAGGGATATAATGAAGGTCGCTGGACTAGTGGAAAGTAGCTCTGATTTGAAAGATTCTAAGAGTAAGGGCAGGTTTAAAGTCTGCAAGAAACATTGATTCTTCCCTTATTAAAAGTTACTTAAAACTTTCAAATTCTTGTGATTGGATTTAAATTTTAACCCTGTTGATGAAATCACATATTGAGACCACTGAAATAAAAGTTATACCGGAGCTGCATGCTTGTGCAAGCGGAGCCCCATTGCTAAAAAAAAAATTGGTTATCTAATCATCCAGGAAATTTTGGTAGTCATGTGACCATCTGTCCGTTTGTCTGCACCATAGGAAAACCAATGCAAAAACTATTGTGGGAGCCTGTAACCTGACATTGCACATCCATGTTGTTGTCAATTTGACAGCTGTCAAAACAGGGTATTTGCTGACCAGAATCACATGACTACCGTATATCACGGGCTCAGGTATCTCTACCCATCAAGATGAGGTGTTTTTTGAAGTTATATGCTTTCAACTGATTCCAGGCTCAACTTCGCGACGGTCACATTGTTTAAAGTAAAAGTAAAGCTCCAGTTAATAAATCTATTATTATTATAGATAATTTTTTTATTAACTAGAGCTGCGCTTTTAGCCTTGGGTAAATGTATAAAAACTTACATAATTTTTGTCGGTAGTTGTTGTGTTGAATTAGGATTCATGCAGTTTTTAACCATTTTTCTCAAACATTACGTCCTTGTGACCTTGTTCCCAGGGTTCTCTGTGAATTGGTTTGGACGTCCTCGACTTTTAAGTGTTCTGGTCACTCATCAAGGCTTTTTCCAATCATTACCATGTGTAATTCCAGAAAGTGTCTATTCCCATTACATGGAAGGTCTGTGTTAGTAACCGTGATGACAAAAATGCTCTGTTTTCAGTGAGCTCATCAAGCTGTGAACAACTTGGTATTGAAGTCTATCTTAGAGTCAGTGATCCTCAACCACTGTGATTACTATAAATTATCCCTGAAGTGTTTTTTCCATACACTGGGGAATTATTGCAATATTTCAGTAATCCAAGCAATAATTATTGCAGTGGTCATTATGGTGAAAACCACCAGCCTCAACAGTTTATCTATTCCCTAAAGCCGAAAGGCTGGTTTTCACTAGCGACAGAGTTGGAGTCAGGGTCAGTTTTTACCATTGAAATCAGAAGCATAGAGCATTACAATCTCTTTTAACTCCATTGTTTATGATCTGGTGAAAACTAGGTTATTGTAGAGGCAAGCAGAAGCAGCAAAGCTAAACCAATCAGAAATTATTTCACAGGGGAAGGAGCATTGTGATTGGTTAATCCTTCCACTTCTGCTTCTGACTCTGACATTTTGATTTCGAATTCCACCGGATCCTTAAGCGAAGGGGTCATAGGAGGAGTTCAAGGAAATTGGGAATGTTCTGATTCTTTTGATTCTAGTTCTGTCATGATTATAACTCTGCTTATGACTCAACTTTTGTAATAATTTCACTTGGTCATAAGCTCCAACTCTGACTCCGACTTTGTGTCTAGTGAAAACAAGCCTTAAGTAAAGCAGCCCAGTGCCTGCTGGCACCTAACTTTTGCTCTTGGGCAACTAGCAAATCTTAGCTTTTTTTATGTAGAAATCCAATGCTGTGCACCCTAGATTTTACAGGTTCAGAGCAGAGGGCTCCCTTAAAATTTTCTTTGGGGATACTTCCTAGTAATAGGCTAATGGGATGTGCCACTGGATGGGGTCGCACTTTAACGGCTGGATTGACTTTAATGGGGTCTCATTTTCATTAGAGTTACTAGAATGGGATTGCACATTTTCGGGATTTGGGGATCAGAAAATTCAGGTAGGTAAGAATTTACAAATGGCATGATTTTTACTTCACTAAGTTTAACCAATGTGTCAACTGTTTTCAGGATGACCTAGTTAAAAGGCTTTATGAGGTAGATGCATAAACAGAACGTTACTGAGATGGGATCCCAAAAATTACATTTTCCCAAAAGTGACTAAGATGGGGTCTATAAATATTATTTGGCCCCAGAATAGACTATAATGGGGAAGGGGTTCCGGGAGGCCAGCAGCACAAACAACCTTGTCCCCAGGGCGCTTTTCCCTGGCTTTGGTGAAGTGCCCTGGGGATGAGGTTGCTGCACAAACCCAGCAAAAGTTCACCAAAGTACCCCCCACCCCTCCAACCCCTGGGGAATTTTTCTTAAAGCACAGCCTTGTTTCCCACTTCTTCCAGTGAACAAAATGCTGACACAAATGCACCAAAAATAACATATTTTACTAGGCAGCATGATCTGGTCACCTGGACCTATCCATTAACTAACATGAAGATTTCATCCACTAAATACAATTATTTTACGTGATTAAACCTGTAATAATGTTATAGTTTTAACTTGTACAAACTTTTGCCAAGCATACAAGTATTTTTGAAGTATACACTAAAACAGTGTACAATTCAATTCACAACCATTATACAGCCATTATAATGGTGAACCACATCCTTAAAATAAATTTAAAATATTGTCCTTTCTACTTTTATTATAACTGGCCAACTTTGTTATAAACTTTGTAAAATTAATTAAAGGTGAACAATGTCTTTCAGGTTCTAGCTATAAGCGCTTTTTACTGCACTATAAAACTGATAAATTCTTCTTCTATTGCTATAAGCATTATTGAATTCTAACAAAAAAAGGCTCGTCTAAAAGTTAAATATGTATCAAACCAATTGACTTGGAAAAATGATTGTTGAAGTTACCAAGAATAATTTTTTCCTAACATAAGCATCAAAAGGCAAAGTGCAACAATATTCTTATTGCCTAGTCTAGCTCTACTAGCAGTAAGCAATGGAAATCACCATGGGGCGTCCATATTTTAGGAGAATGCTAAAATCCTGTTACGACCAGGGTACAAACATTGTAAACATCAACTCTCAAGAAATGTTTTTAGAAGGAAAAATCTTATCTCGCCTCACATTCAGATCTCAAGATACTGACAAAGTTGGTTGAAAACCAATTAGAACAAATCTGGGGTTACCATGGTTACCAGTGGTGGATCCAAACCTTAACTTAAGGGGAACTGCTCTTAGGCTGCTCCTCAGGCCTCTGTTTTGACCTAAAAATTGAGTCCAGCCCCTCCCCAATTCATCAATGGTTACCTTGACAACTATAGCCCTTTTGCAATAGTTGGTCACGCGATCATCTTTCTGTAAACTTGCAAATCGTTCACTTTTGGAAAATTTTGTTAGTAGCAACTGAAAGAGCACATTAGAGTTAACGAACATGTAAATTTTCAGCCATATATCTCAAAACTAGCGATTGCAATGACTGCCAAAAATTAGAAGGACTTGTATGAGAAAACAACTCTTGCCACCCAGTCAAAATTGAGTGGTTTTCCATACAAATCCTTGTAAATCTGAACTTTTTAAACTGTCGTTAAATCTTCTCGTTACGCATTTAAGGGCTCAAATTGCCTGTTATGCTTGATGGAATATTTTATGAATAAATGGCTGAAAACTTATAGGTTACCTTATTTTAACATGCTCTTTCAGTTTGTGCTAACAAAAGTTTTCAAAAGCAAACTGTTTTCGTGTTTACAGAAAGTTGATAACATGATCAACTAATGCAAAAGGCCAATTGGAGCTAATAGGGCTTCTAGTAACTCAGTCCATAACTATAAATAATATTACGTTGCTGTTTCAACCTTTAGATTCTAATGTGTCAATCAAGAACTGTATTCTCTGTACAGCTGACTTGCGCGCGATTCGGACATCTTCTAAGCCATCAGTTTGGACTTTATCAAGATCCAAAATTAATTTAGTTAGCTGCTCATCTAGGAAAATAAACTCTCTATCACCTGGGGAAAGAGGAGCAAAAATTAATAATTATTTGAATAACAACTAAAAATGTATTAAACAATGTAATGATTGGATGAGGTTTTTGTGATATCCCGAATAATCAAGGTTGAGGTAAGTGTTATCAGCCAAGCCAAAGGCCAAGGCTGATAACACTTACCCAGCTTATACATTGTTTTGAAGAAAATAATGACAAACACACTGTCGCGAGGAACCTGAATTGAGAATGTTATTGGAAATCATGCATTGCATGTAACCTACAGTTTACTCAGATTATTCGGATAACTGACTACAGATTTGTCAGTTATCTGCTACCAGGTAACTGACTAACTTGCACCGAATTCCAAAATTAGCTGTAGGCTCTTAGCCAATGAGAACACAGATAATGAGTACAATGTATAATACAATAAGTTATATTGTGCTGCTAACATACATTTCAAGATTTCCTTCACACATTATTATTTTCCAAAGCATTATTTGCGTTACCAATATAATTAACAATAATTAAAAATGTATATAGAGGATATTACACGGTGGAGCGAAGATATGATTTTATTTTCGAGTGGCAAAACAATATTTTATGAACGACCGCAGTGAGTGAGTAAAATATTGTTTTCGCCATAAGAAAATAAAATTCATATCTTCAAGCCGCTGTGTAATGTTCTTTTTATTATATAGACAAAAAGACATTGATAAAATAATAGGGGGAAATTACCGAAATTACGTCATTGATAAACTCATGTGTGAGATTATGGAAAATAAACCACTCGGGTCCCGGATGTAGCTTTTATGAATTTTACAAGTGGTATACTTTCCAGTAAACACTCGTGTCTATATAATAAAATAAGTTATGTTCTGCTAATAAAAATTTCAAAAGAATTCTTCACCCATTATTTTGCAAAGCATTATTTTCTTTTCCAATAATTGTATTATTTTCTTTTTTTAAATCTGATTATGTTCTGCCCTTCTATTTGGCTGGGTTCTGAAGCCCAATGTACTGTATTAATTCTTATTACACAATATTTTTTGAATGCCCTTTAAGTTACTGACATTTTGGTTAGAGAAATAGAGGATATAACACGGCCGCACCGGGAAATTTTGTATCTCCAAGAAGCCAAAATGTTCTATTGATTTTATCACATAAATACCAAATGAAATAGCAAACTATTTCACTTTAATAGTTTTTTGCTGTGAAAGGTGTGTTTTATTATGTAGTCATAGGGATGGTGATCTTTTCACGTGTGAAGATAACCTGTTAATTTCACATGTGAAAAATAATAATCATGTTTTCGCGCCAATGTTCACCTGGTATTTCATTGTTGCATATATAACAAGATGACGCATTTCCTCAAATAAGAACCCACACTCTAATAAACTACAGCTTACCTCTTCTCCCAGAGAAATTCAACACTCTAGGCTCCAACTCCTCTGCATGACACAGCAGCATGTCAATTGAGCTGATTTTCGAAGCTGATGAAGCAGACCTGTGAGGAGAATACTGAGCGGCCCGAGGATCAGCCACACCAGGCTGCGGGTAACCAGGTCTATAAGCTTGTGAGGGAGGCTGTGCATAGGGCTGCCTACTGGAAGATACAGGTTGTTGTTGACCTGGCATTGAATACCCAGGTCCACTTGTGTATGAACCTGGATAATAACTGGACTGAGGAGTCTGCGATTGTGGTTGCCTGTTAATGGACTGTTCTGGAGGGTATGATACTGGTTGAGAACCATACTGATATGGACTGCTCATGTGACCAGGAGGTCCAGCATGTGCAAATGGAGGTATCCACTGCTGTGGTGTCTGGGGTGGGACAGATGGGGGGTAAGTCACTGGTCTCCCATCATTTGTCTGTTGACCGTAGCCTTGGGGCATTGAAACCGATGATGTCGGATATGGCATGTTCCCCTGGCTATCTGGTACTGGTCTATTTCCTGGCATAGTTGGTGTCGGAGGCGAGGAATAATAGTTATTTTGATAAGGATATTGTTGTACCTGTTGATTAGAACCTATTATTCCAGGTGAGTGAGGAACAGAGGAGGGCGGCATCATTTGCTGCGGTTGTTGCCCGCTCCCTGCTAAATGACCCGGAGAAACTTGTTGAGTGGGTCTTGAACCATCTACACCAAGAGATGAGGGAAATGGTGCTGTGCTTGGAAGACCATCCATTTGGTATTGCTTGTCAGTCTGTGGTACATTCACTTGCCCTTGATGAGGGTAACCCGATGGGTACCCAGGAAATGCAGACCTTGCACCTTGGAATGGTGGCTGCCCAGGACTTTGACTTGGTTGATATGATTGATGGGGGTTGTGAGAAGTTGGAGGATATGTTTGACCTGAACCCTGGTACGATTGGCTAGTCGATGGAAGAGCTTGGTTTCCCTGAAAAGAGGGCGTCTGAGGCTGCACAGGCTGACCAGGAAGTGATCTTGCGTCTGGAATGGGTTGGCCAAGACTAGAACTTGAAACCTGCACAATAAAATATTATTTTACTTCCATAATATTATAGACAGTGTAAGGTAACAGAGATTCTCTAGTAAGAAACAAGCCTGTGTCACAGACAGAACTGGACATCTGGTTTAGTCCTTCTGTGAAACAGCACTGAAATCTTATTGTTTATTGGCCAATTAGGTTGAAGGGAAATTCAAAATGCATTTCTAGTAATTCATTGAGTTCATTGGGGGCTGAAAACAAGGATATGGGCACTGTTCTGCAGCTGTTACTAAATGCACTTATCAGCAGCCATCTGGTGGCAATAGGCCATTTGCACTAACAGGTCATGTGACATTGTTTTTATGAAAATGAAAGTTATATGATTTTGCCTTCAAAAAATGATTAGTGGGTCATATCCTAAACAAAATAAAAGTGATTTGGTTTTTCAAACCTACACCGTTGTCTTAAAATGAGTAAGTTTGTAGCTGGTCACGTGACCAAAATGTGATTTTGAAAATTATGAATTACTTCTTTCTGAATACAAATTTTGCACTTAAACTTCAACGAAAATGTTGAAAAAATGATCTGGTAACGTTTGCAGCACATCTGAGCATAACTATCAAAAGTTTAACAAGATGTAAGCAAAAACTAGTTTTGGCCGCCATGTTGGAGAGCATACTCTTGCCCTCCAACATGGCGGCCAATACAAATCATACTACTTTGCTGAAAAATCAAAGTGCCATAAAATATCTCCCTTAGATGCTTTTCCTCTCAAATTTCGGGTGTAAGATAATTTTTATGTGCTCTGTCAATTTTTGGCATCAGCAGGATTCCAACTAATTGTTTAAGGGAAGTATTGGTCACGTGACCTCTTAGTGCAAGTGGCCTATTGGAGCAAGGAGAGACAGCTATATTTTCAGGCTAGCCATTGTAATACATTATACTAAAATATTATGCCTCCTCCAAAAGGAAATGAGGAGAAGGGGGCATTTTTACTGGGGACCCTGACCCTGCTGGGGTGAGAATCATACCTGGAAAGGTTGATCCAGGTTTGGTGGAGGGGCATGATATGGCTGTGGTGGTACTTGATACGATTGATCTGGAGCCAAAGAGGATGCTTGCTGAAAAGCACCAGGGGATTGTGTCATAGTTTGATACGCGCCACCAGGAGATGATACTGGACTCACAGGAGTCATTTGGTTTGATTGGCTTGTATTTGCAGCAGACATTTGATAACCTTGGCTTGTGTTTGGCACAGGCATGGAGGCTGGGTACTGTTGACTCGGACCTGAATTATGGAGAGGTTGATTTGGAGGCTGTTGTGTTTGATACGGCTTCCCAGGCACAGAGCCATCTCTAGCCAAATAAGACTGTCTTGCTGCCAGCATCTGTTGAGGCTGACCAGGCGGCATTTGATAAGACTGATGACTGGCCACTTGACTCTGGTAGTTTGAACTTTGCAAAGGCATTTGATATGACTGACTTGTATTTGATACCGAAGGAGTCTGATACTGTTGACCAGGATTTGCTGACGGCATCTGGAAAGGCTGTGTTGGTGTTGGATTGGTTGGCTGAGAACCAGGTACCTGCCAGACAGATTTTAATTGTTTATTGTGCATTTGTTGCAAAATTTACATCAATATGCCTGATGAATAAGAATGAGAGGCCACAAGGAGCCCTCTAGAAGCTTATACAAATAAGATCTCCTAGTATTAGACAGCTTATACTTCTAGTAAAGTCATGCCAGGCAATGATACAAGTGTTTTTGTTGTTTTTTTTTTTCTTCTTGCAATCTCAGTCTTCAGCTGTTCATGGCTATCATGATTACATGGAAACTCACTTATGAAAGAGAGTTTGACAATTCAGGGCAAAAAGAAAACTTACAAAACACAAAAGTAAAATATTGTTCAATGAGGCCTTAAACTGCTGTAATTAAAATAAAAGTTTAAAATTCTAATCGGAGCTTTCGCTGATCAACAGCATCATCAATGAAATGGTGGCAGTTCAAATTTTAACTTTTAACTTTTATTTCAAATTACAGCAGTTAATTATAAAGGCCTCACTGGACAAATATTCTACTTCTGAGAACATGCTGCGGAAAGACAATATGCACAGATTATCAAACAAAACAAAGTTTTAAACCACAGAAGGCTGTTGTGCACAGCAATCTCATGCTTTAAGTTCAGCAGTTGTATGTGTTTTGCCAAAAAATTATGGATAAAATATGACTCAGTTGACCGGGCGCGAATTACTTGTTACAATTCAACGAAGCGGGAGACGACCATGGGTACTAAAGGACAGTAAGTCGTTCGATTATTGAACAGTTTTTATGTAAGCTTATAGTATTAACCTTGTAGTTGTGCAATCAATTTCTTAAAGTCTCTTTCGGTAAAATTTCCCAAAAGAGTTGCACTGGGCGTACCTTTTGTTCTTGAACTGTGCTAAAAAACACAGAATTTTTTTCAAAACCTTCATACTTACCGAGTATGGCTTTTGGGCCCTCGGATCTTCCCACGAAGTAGTTCTCGTTTTGTGATCAATAAAGAACGGTCTTCCAGAACTTGGGTCAACTTTCATCTCCCAGCCTTGCGGGAGAGGAGGAAAACCCGGCGTGCAACCTTGATACATCTCCATGTACTTCTAGAAATGAGCTTGAAACAACAGATGTTATAATGCGATGGGAATTCTACAGGAAAAGTTAGAATTTGTGTATGACAAGAACAGCGTCACTAACATCCGCCATTGCTGCACTCGCAGTGTGTCATGGGATTGTTTGTTGATAGGCACGCATGCCTGGGCATTGCCTGGGCGTCGCCTAGGCACGCATTACATGCAGAGACTTCCGCATTCTGACTCTCTGTTTTCATTCTTACGAGAGGGGCGTCGTCATTTCATCATAAAAGACTTGAAGTTGAGCCAAAATTAAGAAAATATACGAGTTTTTCATATATTTTTTGTGCAGAAAGGTACAAACCAGTACCATAAACTATTAAAACATTTAAAAATATATAATAACAGATTTTTAATATAACTGCAAAAACCGTGGACGAAGATCTTGCTTGTTATAAACGTTGAATCTCCAGAGATCTAATCAGCCAAATATTAAGAACCAAAAACGAGAAGACCAAAGACTACTGCAAAGCTGATCAGAACAACGTGTATTGTTTTTACATGACAATATTTCGGCTGGCAATACCAGCCTTCTAGTTCTCCATGTTTACAGATGTTACCGGACCCTTACTCCTTAACCACAGGCAGCCCAGACTTTATGGAAGTGGTTTGAATTTGAGCGAATTCTCGATAAATTCAATAGAATGTATAAGAAAATGTAAACAAAATACTTCCTAACGGTTCTTACAATCGCTTCCCGCTTAGGTGGGGTAACCCACCTGTCCATATAATCCCTCATTTTAATTTGATCACGTTTACATTATAGGTGGGGTGACCCGCCACATGTTACCTCACCTATCTGGGGTCCCCCACCTCCAGGTAGGCTCTTGCCGATTGTGCTAGCATAATTTTTGGCATAATCTGAGGAATTGAGCATAATTTTTGCCCTTTTTCCAAAAGTAGCACTGCTAGCATAATCCGTATATTTTCTTGTCTTAATAGCACAATTTTAGAATAATTCAAGAAAACGAAGATCTCAGCTACTAAAAACGATAGATTACTATTAACAGTTGCTTCCACTCCTATTTTTCGATTTTTTTTTACTTGTGTTGAGATACCGCGGGAGTTCGATGAAACGGAACCGGAAGTCTGTGTCTCGGTCCCAGATTCCTTAGTCTTTCTCCCAGTGCTCGTTTCAAAATGGCGGCCGCCACGCCAAACCAGTCAAGTGCAGTGAACTTACATCCAGATAGTTTACAAGGTTGCGAGAACAACGACGTTGTTTACTCGAAATTTGCATACTTTACCATGGTAACTGGAGGCCATTTGAGTGCAAAACCTTGCGCAAACTGTGTCACGCTCTGCTACACGCGATGGTTAGCAACTAGCAAGCTATCCGCGGATAGTTATCCACCACACTATCCAGGCTTTGTGCAACCTACTTTTGTTCGCTGGTTAGCAGATTTATTCGCCGTATAGGCCCAACCACCGGATAAAGTTACCCAGGTTTTGAACAACCGGGCCCGGAACGTCTGGCCAGGGTTAATAAAATACATTTTCAAACTTGTCTTGTGAGTTGTGAAGTTTGTGCACAGAATAATTTTTTAAAAAAGTAGCATAATTTTGAAAAGCGAGCATAATTTGAGCATAATTTGGGCAAAAAACGAGCACTTCCACTAGCATAATATGCCACTTTTACTAGCACAATCGGCAAATGCCTACCTCCAGGTAAACAGGCCGTTAATCTGGGTGAAACGTTGGAAATCTTTTCTGTAAATCCCTCATGTGCGTTGAAAGCAGTATTCACTGCGATTTCCTGGTAAGAAGTCTGAGAAGTGACAGTTGAGGGATCTCGAGCTGACTTTAGGGGCATATAGGTTGATTCTACAAGTCCAATATACCGCAAGAGCACGTACGAACTAGTTTGAAACTTTAAAAGATGTAATGTAACCTTGGGAAGGAGGACAATAAGCACTAATAATCGAGGATGCCAACCTGGAACCTAGATTTTTTTTACCTGATATTTTTTTCTAAGAGAATGTGCCATACAGACTAACACTACAAAAGCCACTGAAATTAATCAGTTCTTATCTCAGATATTTTTCATTTGCCTCAAAATTGTAAACAAATTTATTAACGGCCTACTTTGACTTCTTGAACCACAAGTCAAATTACTTACTAAAATTACGTTTAGATAGTTCAGTTGTGCCAGCTAGGTAACTAATCAAGGAATTAGTCGCAAAATTTAGTCTTAACTGACCGTATAATTCACTCATAATAGTCGCAAAAAAAATTAATTACAAAAAAAAAAACAAATCTCGTTTTCTAAAATACTTAGAAATAAATTGAAGAGGAGGGGTGGGGGGGAGGGAGGGGCAAAAAAAAAAGCCCTATCCGATAGGGTTAATAGTATAATGAAGTTTCAACACATTGTTCCCTCCATTTTCGTTTCATGCATCTAAGTGAGGGACAGACGATGTACCACCTTCTCGAGACAACAGAAATACCAGGGACACTAGGTGCTATCACTTGTGATTTTTATTAACATTATCACACAACTACTGAGTACAATTCCTGTTATGGATTACCTCGGGATGCTTTTAATCTAGACATTAAAATTAGACCTGATAACCATGAAAATAATTAAGACAGCTTGGCAAGCCTTCTATCCAACGTTAGGGAAATCCAAAGGCCCTGTGGGACCGTCGTCAAGCTGACAGAGATTTCCAAAAATGTGACATCCGTCTTTTCTGTTTCCCCACCGGCCAAGGAAGCCCAGGAACTTAAACTCGCCGCTGTAGTGGAAACTAGGATTGTACTGGACAGGCTTCAGGTTTTCCCATATGTACCAATTTAAACCAGAGCTAGCCTCATCTATTAGGGTCTCTCCGTTGGGAATTTTCGTGTACACGTGACGTCCAGGATCCGGCCACATCCCATGTGAACCCTTGGCACAATAGACCACTGCATGAGTACCGCCATGCATAGCAAGTGATTTACCCCCCTTTCTAAACGTACCACCTTGCCAGAGGAATTCACCACCAAACTGATTTGTAATTGCGCTGTTGTGCATGGACAGGTAAATGGAGTAGATCTGGTAGTCGGTGTTGACTTTTCGAAAGCGAACTATCACTTTCTCCCAGTCTCCAACGTGGTGTCCAAATGTCGAATATCCTCCAACGCAACCTAAATCCTTTGGGCAAGGACAATATCCCCAGATCTCCTTGCATGAGCACCCCCTTTGAAAATACCCAATGCAGACCCGTTTGCCACGGTTGTATGGGAAGAACATCCAGTAGGCGATTTCCAAGAAATTGTTATGCTCTCGATAGATGACGTATGTTGGCACGATACTCGGGCTACTTGGGTCCTGACCGCGAAGAACAACCGGCTCGGTGCAAGAGGGGCAACTTATTCTATCTTTAGTAACGATAAAGCTCTTCCCGTAAGTGCACCTCTCGAGATTAGAACTTGTCAGCGCATTGGCGTTGGGCTGGCCACTACAATCTTCTAATTTACACTGAGACAAGAAGAAGTCAACGCTAGATGGCCGCCATAGCTCATTCTGAGCAAGCTTTACCAATGGCGCCCATTTGTACATCAGGTAACCTATCTTGCTTGGAACGCCGGGATGGGCAGAAAAGAACAATGTGAGCAAAAGGGTAGCAAACGCCTTAACAGACATAGTATCTAGAAATTGAAAATAAAAACAAACAATTAACTCATTTCTTGAATGGAAAAGGAGTTATCTTTCAAAAATAGGGACCTTGAGTAACGAGAACGTTGACATCCCGAAAGTAAAAAATGGGAAACTTGATATTTTCTCTCTTCCAGTGCTCTGACTCGACAAATTTGTACGGTGGGAGTTCAAACAGAGGCATTCAGACAGGTCTAAGCGTTCCAACATCAAGCGATTGCGACACGTCAATTTCCGGTTGCTATTTACGGCGTCCGGGACGTCGTCAACCTCGTTCCTTAAGTTAAGTTCGCTAATGACCCATGTATGGGCGTTTAAAAGTTTACTAGATTCTCCCAGTCATTTGAGATGAGGTCACAGATTTCCTGAGTAGAGCGATATCCCAAAATAGTTATAATCGCTGTGTTGGTTGACCACGAGCACGGGCCGGGTCAATAGGTTAGTCTGATAATCAGAAATAAAGATGAAAAGTGCCCAATATCATTTTTGTTTATCAATGAATTAAAGCAACTGGTTTCATCTTTATCTACCTTAGTTATTGGTACTTAATTTCGCGATTTTGGCTAGACAGCATTTCGCGGGGTTTTATTTTAGCGATTTCAACAGGCAAATATGGAAAAAGGCATTGAATTTGGCGATTTAAAAACTTCCTAGATAAACGGGCACAAGAAATGTTTCAAATCTTTGCAAATTAACGTTATTTCACAAGTGAAGTGACAAAATGGAGCTTACAAGTAAAACCAATTAGCAATTTGTGTATTTTTCGATACATATCTTGTATATAGTTGTTGCTATTACATGTTAATTGCGATTTGAATTTTCTAAATGGGTATTAGTTTCGCGTCCTTAAATTCGCGAGGATTTATTTTCGCGGGTCTTTAATTTCGCGATTTTTTTATAATCGCGAAAAACTCGAAATTACGTACCAATAAGGTCATTAATTTGAGAATGTTTGGAGAAGAAGCCACAGTTACTATACCAAAAATGAAAAGGGCAGAAGTCACTCCTCCCTTAATAGAAGAGCTAAGGAAAAAAACACCATGATTACATTTCATTGTGAAAGGATCAAAAGTGTCAGAAAAGCAACAAAACACGAACCTATGATAATGTTAGCCCCTTATAATAACATTTAACAACGGTAAATTGATGACTTTTTTTGACGCCGAGAAACAAAGTAATTCTCTTATTGAAACAAATACTTTTAAAATTCGTGAGGACTTGTAAAATTTAGATAACGTGCATTACGGGAAACTCATTGTCTAAAATAGCTTACCAGCCTTTTCGGCCATTTCTCTCGATCTCAGCAATAGCTCCGTTGGACCTTGGA